GATTGAAAAATGACTTTTTATGATTATTTTGGAATCATTTTGACATCATTTTGATATTATAATAACTTGTTGTTCTGCTTGAGTACCTACGAGATAACATAATATATTATATCTGTGGTATCTATATATCTATGGTATATATATATATATATATATATATACATATATATATATATATATATGTATATGTACATTAAAAAAATGTTTTAAGTAACTTTGTTTTATGAGATTTACAAAGTAGGTTTAAAATAATAAAAAAAAAATTTTTTTTTTTAATCTGATCGCGAGCTGTTTAATCTGAACTTATTTATTTATATAACTGATCTTCCTGGAGATAAAACGGCACATTCGATATAAACGTAAGATTTAACATTAAACATAAGACCATTGATTATTTATCTGATATAAGATAGGCGAATAATAACTTATTAAAAATTTGTGCAGTTTGTCTTGATTTTAATTTGCATAGAGAATATGATTTTAAATTACCTGCATTTTTTGAAGGTCTTCTGCGCCAAAAGCGACCCTTATTTCATTCAAAATATACAGCTGACTCAAGACTTCATTCTGGATGGTAAATGTCAAGGTTAAAAGATCTCAGCAGAGAAATCTTAATGTTTGAAAATGATTACCGAAAGAAGCACTACAAAAATAAATATAAATAAAAATAAGCATAAATATGAGTAATATTGTACATAAATATAAATGAACATGAATATTAAGTGTAATCATCTTTGTTTAACGCACGCGATGTCGAGGTAAATTAGGTGACACGTTTTTTTTTAAATTAAATTTTTGAATAAATGTGTTAAACTGCCTCTTAGAGACCTTAAGATTAGCCTCTCTGAAATTAAATTGATTAATTCCATTTTTTATCAATTTCTTTATTTTAACGCCAGATTAATTTGTAATATGATCATGTCTTTTTATTAATTTGTTCTACTTTAATTTGATGAAGTTGATCAATTTGGTTTTAAGCAGAGGTCCAAATACATTTGCGTAAGGATATTTAATTCCAGGAATGTAACGTTTTCATGATTCGTGGTACGGATTGCATGATGCCGTGACACCGATTGGAGGAAATTCCTTGCACGGATCGCGACAGTAAACACTAATTAGTTCAGCTGCCGCGTTTGATGCACGCGAAAACCGTTCGGCACGACACAAGAATGGCGCCGTAATTAAATTAGTAAGAGTGCATCACACGCTAAAATAATTCATGAGTTTGTCAGTTGTTAAAAAAAAAAATAATATGCATCACGATATGTACTACGATGAAAAATAATTAATATTTATTTGTCGAGAAAAAATTGTGCTCACTTTTCATCATAACTTTTACATTTAATAATTAATTTAACAATTAATAATTCATTTTATACATTTTGAAATATCTACATGTCAGATTTTATTTGGACAGTACGAAGATTTACTGTTGATACAACCATTTCATGTAATATAAATTGACATAAATATTGATTGTACTATTAATAAATATTGCCACTCTGTCGTTTTTAAATAATTTATTCACGATGACGAATCCCAGAAAGTTATCGCAGTTTCTCTGATTCTTTCATTTTCAAGCGTTTCTCATTTTCAAAACTTTCTAGTTTTCCTTGTGGAATAACTTGTGCAATAATTCAATATCTGCTTTTTGAAATGTATACATATTTATTTATAAGAAATTTCTGATGGAAAGTTAACGTTGACTACATATTTTTGTAAGATTTAAAAAAATATCTAAGATTTATTCTTTTTATTGATTAATTCTTCTTTACGAGGCATAAATTAAAATGTTAAATTGCCTATAACACCGCCTATAACAGTGTTAGATTTATGTCTTAAGTGAGTATCGAATACAAAACAAGAGGAAGAGATAAATATGCAACATTCGAGGCGTGACAAGAAAACATATATCTTATATCTTATATTTATTAAAGCTCTGCTCTAGAGTTACAAAGGTGATGTTTTTTGAACGGTCACGCATTATTTACGCTGTACAATTGTCAACAATAGATGGCCTTTTAAACGTACGTCTCTTGAGCTGTTTTATCGCTCGTGTGTAATCTATGCTTCGGAACACCCACGCAGATACGCATGTATAATACATAATGATCGTGTGTGTCGCACCGTGAGATGTGGGTCACCACAAGAATGAGCATATGTACACATCATGAGAGTGTAGTGTCCGCGAATGTATTATTATTGAAAATATCAACGTGCGTATTTAACACACGTTTCGCTCGCTGTGCGTTGCAAGGTATTTGTGCCAAGTTTCTCTAGTATCTACGAGCGTGTGCAAGTCGTGAATAAGTCGGATATTAATACATTGATAATATGGACAAGTGGCATGAATCCAGTTCCAAAACTCTCGCCGAGTTTTATGGCCTTACGTCGTTACGTGCCTATAATTTTAATCAAATTACCTTAGATTTTATTAGTTTTAATTTTAAACACTTAAAAATCTTAAGTATCACCCAAAATATTTCTCAAAAAGATTTTTTCATAGATATTTTTTGAATAAATCCTAACGGATTTATCTCTCGAGTTTTGTCCGAGTACTATATTTTCTTTGATCTGTTAAAATGTGCACATGGAAAAATATACGTATGTATCAAGAGACACAATACTATCTCGGATATCAAGTGCAGTTATATGTTTCTTTTATATAAATATGTTTATGTGAAACTACAAGTATATATGTGATGTTATGTGACTTTCGAGACTGGGGGGCTTTAAATATTACTTACCTTTTTCAAGTATTTCAAAAATTCAGACATCTGCAAATTCATAAAATCACTACAAACAATGAATTTATTTAAAATATATTCTGAATTCTCTAGTAAGTTTATAATATTGTAATCAAGATTATTAAATTAAAACAAATTTGATTTGCTTATTCTAAAGTCGCTTCTTTGGTAAAATTTTATAAATTCTTCAAAGGAAAATAAATTCTTGTTTTGAATATATAATAATAAGTTTTTCTCTGAAATTTATGATAAATATATTTTAAGATATTACCAAGAAATTCTTTATCTAAAAATAACTATTACTTGAAAGAAAAAAGATAACTAATCACTAATTTCTTAACAGTAGAATAAAAAAAACAATTTTGGAAATAAGATAAGCAAACCATTTCTGATAAAAATATTCTTCAAAGAAAAATAAACTTTTGTTTTGAGTACATGAATTTTTCTAAAATTTGTGATAAGTATGTTTTAAAAATACAAGTAAATTCTTTATTAAAGATAATTGAAAAGAAAATGTAAACTGAGTAATTATTTTTCTTAACAGTAAAAGCAAAAAAGCAACATTAGATATAGGATAAAGAAACATTTTTAACATAAAAAGAACATTAAAAAGAACGTATTTTTAATTAAATTGTATAAATGAATTATTAAGTATTGATTACAGAGAGAGAAACTGATTACGCCAATCAATTTTACGGAAAAAGTGACAAAAAAACATTACAACTTTTTCCAATTGTTTTTTACTTTAAATTATTTTAAATAATTTATAATATATAATCACATTTTTGCAAAAAGTTATTTGTTTTTTCTGTTATTTTTCTTATTGAATCGATTCGGAGTAATCAGTTTTCTTTTATAGTCAATATGAGTCAATATTGAATAATTCATTTATAATAATTAGTCGCAAAATTGATTTTTTTATTATGTTTTTAATATCAGAAATGTTTTTTATGCTCCGATTCTATGTTCAACTATTTTTTTTTTAACATAAACGCTGCCAGGTTGTAAGATCCAGCTTGATCGACTTCCATTTCCTATTTACTGTGTACTCATGTTACGGTCTTAAAAGCTTCTTTGTCTGCTATGTTTTACATTGTTCTGTATTTATATACGAGTGCATAGTCTTATTAAATAATTATAGCCTTCATAATGAACTAATTTGTATTGCGTGCACGAGCGGTTTCGCACGCGTGTGCAGCGTACACACGCGGATTCCGCAATGCGGTTCCACCGCCAAGATACTACCATCAAGTATTCCCTCCCTTCTCACCCTGGCATAGTCAGTGCATTCGACACTCACAGACCAGTTGATATGGTCAGTGCCCCCCGACGCGTCGTCGACTAAACACACGCAGTAAAGTTTCTTTCTCTTTCGAGGGAGAGAGTAAGAGCTCTCGAGAGCGAACTCGCATCTCGTCGATCTCGCGTTGCGCTCCGTTTTCCCGTGGAGCGAAGTTGTTATAAACTTCTCCGTGATAGATAAAACGGACATCGTACAAATCGGGTAACCCTCGGGGATCTCACAAGTTTGTGTGTTATTCAGAGAAATGTTAAATTTGCGTTGCATCGATCGTGCGATTTGTCTGATTATTGGCATTACAATCTGGGGCTTGCAATTAAAACAAATCGTTATACTTTTGAGAGTGCATATTTATTATTGTAGTCGACGTTGGAATTCGGAATGTTTGAAACATTCTTTGTTTTTTGAGTAATCTTAAGTAATCTTGACTAATCTTTAATAATAGCAAGTTAGGAATGTTACGAGATAGTAAAAGGAAGTTTGAATTTTTTCGTTTACTGAAAAAACACTAAATTGTAACAAATATTTGTGTGAATAGTTCTATTTACTAAATGTAAACGTATATTTATTTGATATAAAATTATTAATTTTGTATCTATATTTTATTGAGTAAATATTTATTTATTGAATAAATGTTTGTTTAGTTAGTATTATTCAAAGAAATATGTACTAATATTTAGTAAATTTTTTTCATTGTATGTTATTTTGATAAAAATAATTTGATTTGTGATAAAAATAAAATAAAATATTATATATCAAACGAAATATCTTTACTACTCGAACGCCAACTATACAAGCTGATGAAAGAGACGAGACCAATTAGAGAATGAAATACTCGAAGCTGTTTTCAAATAGAATCTTAAAAAAACATAAGAAATTATCATTTATTGCAAAATTTATATAGCCATATAGCATCTATAAAATAAATCTTCCTTTTAGAATTTTAATTTATAGCCAAGAAATTTTAAAATGTGACACGATCGATAGTCTCTTTCGACAATTCTGAGATAAAAGAATTGTAACTATAAGAAATAATGCAATGTTTGTGTTTTATTATGTGATAGCCCGTATATCACAGAGCAAGAAGACCCCAGTTGACCAAAGTTAGCATTAATCGATGTCGATGCAACACGCTCCTCAAATGTGTCGATCACAAAAGTCGCTCGCCAAGTAAACATCTCACATTACAACAGGAACGTTTTATTTACGCGATAATAAATACGCGGCCCTTCGCTTTTTCTGCGTTGATAAGATGTATCACTGGTCCAACTAATTATCATTTGCGTCAGAACGGTACTCTTATTATCAATACGGCTGTAAATAAACAGCGTAGATTGACACACTTGACTTGCTCGCTGAGACGAGCAACAAGCTTATGACATCCCGTGCGAGATTTAATTTGAATATCGTTTTTTTTCTCGGAGCTTCAATACCGCGAGTATCGACTTTGATAACGCAAAGCGAATAGGGTATAAAAGAATTACAGAGATATTTATAGACATTAATACTGACGGTATGTATCGGATAATTCTTATATTATTCTCGAACACTCGGATATATTATTGTAGCATCTGCGGTTATTTAAAGTCACAGATAAGTCGGCGTCGCGATTCGTGATATCTGGCGAATAGAAATATAATTTTACATGACATTTATCCTTGCTTTATAAGTCACTCGAATCACTTACACAGATGGTCATGACATTTTTTTTTTATACAGATATTGAGATAAATTTAATAACTGTGAATTGAAGTGCCAGACTTTATATTTATTTTGCTTTAAAATAAAATACTCTAACCACTCGAATCGCAACGTTCCTGGAATATACTTGACCGAAAACGTAAATTGTTTTTTCGATCTGAATTCGTTGATAAATTAAAATATATTTTTCTCTACAGACATGATCTGGAAATAACGTTTTCTTAATTAGCAAAAACGGCAATGCGTTTATCTCGTACATGCGGTTTAAATGAAATTCTGCATGCAGACGATACGTGAAAAAATCCGAGATATGAAAATAAATCCATATGACGGTTTATATATCCAAGAACAATCGCATTTTATCAAAGGGATTCTGCGTCACGCGATAATTTCCATTCTTCGTGAAATCGTATCTCATACTTAGACAAGTGGACTTGTTATGCGCGTGAATCACCACGTTGAAAACGATGAAAAAATGTGGTGGTTTTTGAGTACCGACCTTACGGAAAAGCTGAGAATATTTCTTTGGGTCAACTATTTATAGTGTAAGCCAACGTTTTCATCTCCGTCATCGTTGATGCTCGGACGAAAGGCTTGTTGACATTGTGCCGCAAATTTTTGCTGCCGACAGTTTGTTATTGATTTACATTGGAATGTTTGTACCTGTTATTTTGTCTTGTAAATCTATTTTTGAGACAGTTATAAATCTTTTTTTAGAACAAAGATTTTTAGGCATAAATTACGATTGTTAAACTATGAATAACCGTAGTTTCTACTTGTGTATAAAACGTATAAATATTATTGTTAAACCTAATAATATTACTATTAAAATCAATAATGTAACATGTTTAATATCAAAATTAGTGCGATTTTTGCGAAAGAATAAATTTAAAAATTGCTAGAAAAGATGAAAAACAGGATAACAGCACACCACGTATTTGGAACGCAAAAAGAAGTACAGTTAACTTGTTGTCTACTGTATGATTCACCTATATAGTTTATAAGAATACGTTCGTGTCAATTTCATGCAAATTAGACGCAGAGAAACAGGCGTGTACACGCGTAATCTAATTATCCTCGACGCAACCCTAATCCATGTTCTCTGACGTAGGTGTAGTAGTGTTTATTATGCGTGGATCGTTGGGAAGTCTGTAACATTTGTTACAAATTCTTCGTAATAGTTGTCTTGTCTGTTTTTGTAAAACCTACAGATTGCAGTTGCCCTCGCGGCGAACATAGCGGCGTCGAAGACGAGAACAATCGTTGGTTTGATGAACGAAAACAACAGTACTCGTCATGGTGCATTCTATTAATAACTCGGCACCGCGGCTCTTTGTAAATTTGTCGAGGGTCGCGGCGAGCTCATTGATTCATTGATCATATCGTGGGAGAATGATATGTCTCCCGCGGAAGTGCCATCGTTGTTAAACTAGTGACCCTCTTTAGAAGAGTATCGAAATAATATTCAATTAAAATTAACCAGCATCAATCGTGCAACTGATTGAAAAAAATTATTTATGGCAATTTATGACACAATTTGACAAAAAATTACTTTTTTCTCTGAAATGTCATCAAAGATCTTTTCATGTTGAACACGATTGACAGAATTTAGCATTCAATGGCTGGATCCATGAGGGAGGACCCTCATGACCCTCCCCCTTTTTCAAAAAATATTAATGTCAAATGTTATATACTTTTTAAATATTTATGAAATGCTTAATCAAAATTTTGATTCTAAAAATATTTTTTAATTTAAGGAGTCATATAAAAGTATAAAAAATGTAGATCCCATTATATTATAGTTTTAAAAAATATATTAGTTTTGAAAAGTTTTTTTTTCAAATTGCAGAAAGAAAATTAAAATGATTTTCTTTTCGGAAGCAAATATAGCAGATCATACGGACACATAAATTTTTCCAACGACAAAATAAACTGCAGTGAAATAAGCAAAAAAAAATGACATTTTTTACCATATTCAATATTTTTACGGCAAAACAAAAACTCGTTTTTATATAAAATTCAGAATTTAAAAATACACATACAAAATTTAAAAGTTTTAAATAAATTTAGTTCATGATTATACGATTTATTCTTATCATCAAGTTATGGTTGTATAAATTTCAGACTTTCTATATAATTATTCAAACAGTCATAACTAATGATAATAAATCATACAATGAACTAAAATTTATTCGAAAACTTTTGAATTATATTTTTATATATCCTAGACTTTATTATTTAGAAATAAGTTTTGCCGCAAAAAATGTTGAAAATGATGAAAACATACCATTTTTGCTCTTTTCATCCAAATTTATTTAAAATTCTGACGTTCTACACAAATTCTGTTAACGGTATCGTGTTCAGCATGAAAAAATTTCCGGGATATGTACTTTGGCACTTGAGAGAAAATTTGATGATGAATTGTGTATAATTCTTCACCAACAATTATTAACTATTCATATTTCGAAATCAATCGCTAGTTGCTTGTTTTATTTAAATTCAGCGAACAGTTACTAATTACGGCCGTAACTTGCTAATTGCATTTATAACTAGTTGGCAGGCATTACTTTATATTTGTAGATGTTCGGTAATGAATTTTTTAAAATTATAACATAAAAACGTGTATTTTCGGTTAATCTATTTATCGGATTAGATTAAATTATTTTAAGTTTCTTATGTAATTAATTATTAATTAATAAACATTAATTATCTTAAGTTTCTTATATATCTATGTTTAATATCTTGCGAGTTAGAGATCGATCATTTTGAGCTTTTCGTATGACGGTATATAAACACGAATATATCGTAAAACTGGAAAATGATTGCAGGAACGTTAACAGTTCATATTGATGAAAACGATTGATATTTTCGAAATGGGAAATGAGAACGAAATTCTTGCCATGTACAAGCATAATTCTGTTACCGAGTGGTTGCAGAAAACAGGACAAGCCATGGACTATGTAAATAATGGTAAATCGATAATTATAAATTTCAATCTTCCTCCAATTTTTATCGCAATTTATTTTATGTTCATTATCTTTAAACGAGAAAACATTTAAAGATAAATAATATAAAATACATATAAATTTTGTAATGTTTATGTATCACAAATTTTTATGTTTGTATGAATTATTATAGTATAGTATATAAGATGTTTAGGAAATCATCAAATTCTATCACGTTTTGATATCACTTATAATAATACGTGCTTTAAATTCTCTAACTAAGACATGTATGCTTTCCGCGTATATTGTTTTTTAATTAACATCGTGGCACATTTATATTTGTACGTAAACTTTGAAATGCACATAAAGGAGCAAATGATAAAAAGCAATAAAATATGTAGAAGTAATAATGTTAACATAACAAAATAAAATAATATAAAATTTCGTACATTTAACTAAAAATAAAAATTTGTTATTGATTTAATTCAGAATTTTGTATTACCGTAGAGAAGATATTTTCAATATATTGTAATAGGTTTTTTTTCTAGGTAAACAAACTAAGCAGATCATTCTTTATTAGCGAATCTCATTTAAACAAAATTATTTTATTTCTGATGCAGGTAGCGAAAGCCCAGTTTTTGGCATCGAGGGTGGTAGTAGCGCTGCAGGCGCCAGCAATAACTTGAGACTTGCATCTCACGAGCTGCCAAATGAGATTTCAGCTCCCTATGAAGTACCTCAATTCCCGATCGAACAGATCGAGAAGAAGCTTCTGATCCAACGACAATTGACTGTCAAGTGAGTATTTATTCCGATTGCATGCATTTTTATAGCATTTTTTGGTTTACTTACACAATTCAAATTGGTTCAAGTAAAAACTTACGAAATTATACTTATAACCTTATACATATGTACAATATTTTAGTTTCTTAAATTTTACATTTTAATTTGTAATATAATTCTGATTTAAATATATTTTAATTGAAATATATCCTCGCAAAAATTGATTCCAGTTGTATCAATTATATAATACGAATAAAAAAAAATTATTATTAAATTTATTAAACGCGAAAGAGTTGTTGTATTTATCAAATAAAATTTAAAAAATGTCACTCATCATCAAAACAAGAAGCCACCATAATCTAAAGACCAGAGCTGTTTCTTCAACAAGTTTTATATTGAACAAAGTTGGAAGTTTTTTTGAAAAGCATTGATGAAAAATTTCTCTCTGATGAAAAGAAAAGTATTTTAATATATTTTTCTTTTTATTTAGAGGGAAATTTTGCAATGACTTTTTCAAAAAATTTCCAACTTTATTTAATATAAAATTTATCGAAAAAATGACAGATATATTTTATATTTTATGTTCTAGTACGTCAACCCCTAATGTGTAAAGTTTATATATTACATCTTGAATAGAAGGGTTGATTTCAACTAATTTAAATGATTTTATTTTAGATGATCAGTAAGTTTAGATAATTATTTCTCTCCGAAAAAATTATAATTTCAAGGGATACGATGATACTGATAAGCAGGCGGCTATAAAACTGAGATCGCGATATATTTACGACTGTGCGAAAGGCACTAAAGTATTATCGCTATATCGAAGGATATAAAGTACTTGGCTGTATATACGAGGTAATACGTACGCGATCGAGTATCTAGTAAAACCAAGCCACAGCTAGATTATACTATACAGGGTGTCTGCAACGCAAATTTAAGTCTTAGACATTTTAAATTAAAATTTGCTGAACATCGCTAGAAATATAAATCGAAATTATTTTTAGAATAGCAACGACATTTGGAAAAACCTTTTTCAAAAGATAAGACGTTTGAAAAAATATCGTGTTTCTTGTATCTTAAACGATATAAACGTTCTGTTTTCGAAATCACGCTGTATGTCTAAACGAGATTACGTCGGGTAGATAATCATCATAATCCGTTAGAAAGTTTTTTACAGAAATTAAGGAACGTAGATAGAAGATTGCTTATTTTTTGTATAGTATTATGTATAGTATTTTTTGTATAGTTTTTTGTATAGTATTTTGTATACTATTATGGAATCATCGTATTAATCGTGAGATGCGAGATCGATTTTTAACGTGAAGATATCTCTGCCAAGAAATATTCTGAATTAGCTTTCTTCTCTGTTGAAGGAATATTAAATGCTCTTTACTAATTCTTACCTAAGCTTTAAGCGGGAATTTATTTAAAAGATAAAGGAGGAAAATGATTTCTAAATTCACTGGTCAGAAAATCTGAAAAATTCGAGGAATATTTTGCATAATAAATATATTCGTAAATATTTTATGGTTGTAAATAGTTAATATGAGTATGGCAGCTATATTTGTAGTCATAGGCCGGTATTTATAGGCGGTTTTTATATTTAAGACCGTCTTAAGTGAAGTCTTAAATGTCATGAATTATTACAGTACAGTATTCATAGTTAAAATCTTATATTTAGGATCGTCTTAAATAATAATGTTTCAAGATGCTAATACAGATTTCTCATTGGTTCAGACAGTCTTAAATATAAGAATCGATTATGAATACTGCCTATAGAGCCGTAATTAGAAATCTTAAAGAGTTACTTAAGACCATTTTGAAATAAGAACAAACCAGAAACCATTTTGTCGATAATTGGACGTTGATGCAACACTTAGGGATAGCTGTTACACTTCCTGTGTTATCGCATAATAATGAGAAAATGTTTTATATACGATGTTTTATGTATACTAATGGAATTGCCAACTCGGCAATGTTCGTCAGGTTTGCGTTCGCGCGAACCAGTTCGGAATTATTATCGTCGTTAGATATTTTACCGGTACCGTGATGTATTATGTAGATCCAAGCGAAGGATATAAACGAATAGATAGAGACTGGTAGGTCACGCCGCCCACGTCTTAACTGGAACGGTCGAGGCAGACATTTTGCGAATTTTACGCGAGAAATGTCGCATTGCTATTCAGTGAGACAGTTCTGCGTTCCTTCGAATTCCTACGTCTTTTGAATTGCTTTCTACATTTTCGAAAAATTTTTTTTTTAATAATACCCAACTGTTTTATATTATATCTATACTATACACATACATACACACACATATATATATATATATATATATATAGAGGATTTGTGTTATATCCTTAGAGATACTTATTACTGAGAATTACTATGAAAATTATAACAATGAAATGTTGATATTATTTTAGTTTTGGCGCAATATTGAATTAAATCACACTGGCTGGATTTCTAATTTTGTAATATTGTTATAATTGTTATGTTAAATACATATATATTGAGAATTGTTAATATTCTTTACAGAAATTGGATACTGGAAAACAGTAATTAAGTACTTATTAGGAATATAAAAAGCACTAATAATTAGTGCTGTTCATACTCTAAAAAATAATTAATTCATACCTTATAATATTAAATTTCTGTAAGGGTATAGAGAATTCTAAATTTAGACGCATATTTATATGTGAACACTGGTGCCTTACCGATTTTGTATTCATACGTTTTGTATCTGTCGATATAATATATACGATAGTTTGATTGAGTGTATAATTAAGTTCGAAATACAATATTTGAGTATTACATTAAAATTTTAATTTAATTAATTAAACAGCACTATTGGTAAAGTTTATTTATGGACTAAAATTTAATTATTTACAAAAAAAGGGGGAACTATGCAACATTTATATATTATTTATATTATTTTTAATCAATCTCTTTCTCTCGATTTGCTTTATTTAAAGTCAATTGTTACAACTACTTGCTTAAAAAACAATTTTTAAGATACTCTCAGATATTATTATTATTTTCTCGCATTCAATTGTGTGTATTCAAGAGCGACTTTACTCACTTCAAATTTAATTTTTTTTATCTTACATTTTTATATTTTTTCGCTTTGACATTTCGATTTATTTTGTAATCTGGTTTTATGCGCCTTATTCTTTTTTTTTTTATTTTATTTTAACTGTGTATTTATTTTTGCCAAAGTGCTTGAGGGGATTTTCCCAGAGCGTTCAATAAATGGTGAGCTCTCTCTTTCTTTTTCGACTGGTCATTTCAAATTACAATATTAATCATTTAAAAGCCATATGAAGGACGAGCAGTGAAACATATTTAACTGAATACACATTATTATTTACAAATATGCCACATGATTGCAAATGTATTTACATTGATATACTTACAGCGATACTAAGTATTGAGAAAAGAGGAGCGTATTCGTGTGTTATTTAGATCGACTACGCAATCTTTGTTTACCAATTACACATGAAAACTGCGGATTACCTTGAGACGGCCGTTGATCACCGATAAAATCGTCGTCGTCGTCGACGTGAACAGAATTCTCGTTGCTGCAGCCAATAAAGCTGCGATCAATAATTCAACGCGGGACGTATGCTTGTTTGGCCTCGAGATACTTAATGTAACACGATAGTTCAATTCGAAATGTATGTCATCGTTAATGCTTATTTAAAAATAAAATTATCCCAGTAGACAATCAAAGGGTATGGCGAAAAAGATTGATTCGTGAGCTGTGAAAAGAACTAATAAGTTCTTAGCTCATCGACAGATGAGACGCGCTTTTGTGTATTTGTCAAACAGACCTTGTTGCGACCCTGTATAACGATCTCTGCTTCAAAAATTTATTGTAATTGATTTTCGTCACGAAACAAAGGCAATAAGCTTATTCAAGATAGTTTCATCTCATTCACATTTCTATCTGTTGTCCCTAACTAGAAGTACTCACGATATACTTCAATGATATTGAAGCGAAAAGCAATGTATATTTTGCGACGGCGATGTATGATCTTTAGAGAGAAATAACGCAAAAGATAAAATACTGGAGAGTACCTAAGTAGTAATTAAATAAACGATAATAAATATGCGTGCGTATTTATTATCGTTTATTTAATTTATCACGCTATACTCTCTAAATTCTTTGGAGTAGAATCTCACTCTAAAGAATGAAAATTAGGCCAGTCTTGAAAAAGATTGGTTCAGTTTTTACTCTTTAACGCCCAGTTTTCACAAATGTAAGATTAACTTTAATCTCGGTTCAACTTACTCCTTATCTTTTTCCAATTTTAGAAAAAGATGAGAAGCGTAAGGTTAACTTCAATCTCAGTATCAATTTACTCCTCATCGTTTTTCCAATCTAAAATTAGAAAAGGATGAAGAGTAAATTGAACCGAAACTTAAATTTAAGATTTTACATATATAGAACCTAACCGGGCTTTAGAGTGAGATTTCATTCTTCAGAGAGAGACAATCCACTCTAAAAGTTTTAGAGAGTACGATTTTAATGCATTGCCGCATTGAGCATGCACAAAGGATACAATGTGCAATGTAGGGAAGTTACGTCATGTAAACGGAAACCATGTATCGGCCGTTTTTACATGCAATTGGAGACCACTGTGAAACGCGGTGGGTCCGCGGCTCGATCCGAGCGCGGGGGTGGGTCGAAGGGGTTGCCCGCGATCAGCCGCCCTCCACGGCCACCCGTTCAGTGCTCGTGCGACCGTCGTTGATGCCGGACGTACACCCGGCGGGGTACGTGACTTCCGGCACGGTTACATGCGCGTGAAGGAGGTTTTAGGTAACGTTCGCACGAGGCTCGTGTGCCGCGCGCCGTGTTCCGTATCGAAAACCGGTATTAATAACCGGTGATCTGCAAGATACGAGAAATGGACCTCACGCTAAACCGTCGTCGTTATGATTATAGAGATTATTTCAAATCACCGGGATCCGATGAAACTGTAATCGAGTTCGATCACGGTATGCAGTGTTTAATATTCCAGCGTAGCCACACGATCTCCATGGAGAATTAGCGTCCTGCGACGGAAGATCCGCGAAGATGATCTAATTATTAATTTTATCATTTTTTAAATACAAAAGATATCAAACATAATTCAAACATAATTCGACAATTATGATTGTCGATAATTGCATTGATCGCTCTGTAGGTTTATTTTTATAAAAACAAACATTTGCTTGATACAAGTATAATGGACTCTATTCAGATCATATTAAACCGCTCTCTACTTTGATTTGGGAATCACATATTTTGATTTATCGATCCTCTCGACGCGCGATGTAATTACATTACTGGAGCTTGAAAGCGTCCGTACTGCAACGCAACGGCACCAACATGCATTCGATCCACGTAATTGGTATAGCGTGAGAGATGTAGCGAGCTAAGAAATCTCGCGTTTAAAACGTGATATAATCAGACTGTAGCAACACTAATCCTTACGCGAACGACACTGTGGACGAGATCGTTCGATGCTGGCGAGTGAGTTAATTGAAGAGAGGGACGCTTCTTGCTTGCGCTTAAACACCGCGTCAACAGCATTGATGACGCAGAAACGCGCAATACGCGATTTGAGGATCTTCCAAGAATTTGGTTCAAATTTATGATCTTTTCTTAATCCGTGAGATTTGTTAATCCAACTGATTTCCGCTTACTTGCATGTTGCCCTTATAATTCATGCGATACGAATTTGAATTTCGTAGAGAACTGAAACATTGAATGATTATCAAGGATTACAAAAAGAGATTCAGGAAAAAGGAAATTTAAAGAATCTTGGAGAATACGAATACATTTTTTTAAAGATATTTATTCGAATGCATCGTGAATTGATAACATTTTGGCATTTTTGTCACTCAAATAGAATATAACAAATATCAATGTGAGTACAATATCATGCGTCTACGTAATTCTCATCGTGTGGGTATTAATATTAACGCCTACACACGGCGTGTGAATTTAATACAATGGATTTTATATCAACTGATATTTTTAGAGTGTTTCTATAAACTTTTTAACTGTGGTGCTTAGCGAGATTTATTGCGTGGGGGGGAGATACAAAGGTGTGATAAATTGCGTTTACCGCAGCATCGTATAGCACACTGCTATTACATCGCGAAATTTTGTTACACCTTTCGCCGCATCTCACAACCATCTGTCAACTGAAATTAAACAAAATATGAAATAGCAAAATACTGATGAAAAATATAAGTGGAAAAAAAGAATACATGTACATAAATATTGTAAACGTTAATGGTTGAAAAATAATATTTATAGAAATATACAAGATCCTTTTACCTGCTTCTCCACGCATGAATTAATTTCATTTACATATTGAAAAAATTTTATATTACTTTTCGTTTTTATTTTCATTTAATTTTATTTAATTTTATATAATTTTATTTAATTTTATATTTTTCGAGATTCTTTGCATATTTTCATTTAACTTTTTGCGAAAAGCACGTAATTTTCCGCGAAATGATTATGGAATATTCAGCAATGAAGCCGATGGAACGATTACGTTCATTTGACAGAACATAGCAGGGTGGTGAAATATATGCATGAGATTGTGGAAGGAACTGGGAAAGGACTACGCGGCTCCTATTGTATCCTATTAACTCCTATAAAGAGAACTTATCGGGTATTCCGCCCGACTAATCATGAAAGATCGTAAAGATTTCCGGCCGGGTCACCGAAGAGCAGGCGACACGATTGATCTACGATTGTGATTAAGGAAAACGAACGCGATTCGTCGATTACTGCTCGGGACTGCTACAAATGAAAATCCGTCTTTCGTGATAGGATCCCATGTATCGTATCCGTGAAAACTTGTGGTGGGGTGTCAAATGAGCGTGGAGAAAAGTGCGGCACAAATTGGCGTCGCGTTATTCGACTTGCGCTTCCGCATCGCGATTTATTCCGCGCGTAAGAGCGATCGATTTCCAGCAAGTATCGATTGCGTAACATGTTCGCTGGCGCGAACGAGTCGAAACGATGGACGAGGGATAATAGGATTCTCCTGAGGTAATTTGTGCTTTGATATTAAAAGAACAGAATGGCGAATTATACTTATAGTTCTCGTGAACGTAAATCGAATATGCAATTTGGTTGATTATCGATTTGATCTATCACTCTTATTTTAGTGTGTAAATTATTACTATACGCTTATCATACTCATATCTGGCAAACATGCTTTTCAATATATATATATATATATATATATATATAAAATGATGATGAATTTAAAGACCGTAATTATATACGAGTAGATATAAATAATAATTGGATTATTCATTTTGATAATATTATATATTTAGAGATATTAGATAATTAACTACAATATCAGTATATGTATATTAATTTTCATTAATAATGTAGCAATGTTGCAATATTAACATTTAACTAATATACTTTATGTAATTATTATATTAATTTTTATTTTTGTGTTTGATTTAAAGAATATTTAAAATTATCATGAAAATAATATTTTATTTTGTACACGATTTTAGTATTTCTTTTGTGTATGTCAGAGATATTATTTTTAATATGTAACACTCTTAGCCTGCTAGTATATGAAATTATGGACTTAAGGAAATAAATGAGAATATAATACAAACAGGCATTAATGGAACATTTCATGCGCGACGCAATAATTAAAGAGTGCTTATCTCATAATTTTTCATTTGCTCACATGCATGCGTATAAAAAAAGAATATCGTCTGTATATTTATTGATAGCAGGTCAAAGATCCATAAAGTATTTATCACTTTGAATTTAACCATCTTCTTTTGTGATTGGAAGCTCGACCACGAAAATATTTGTCTTTATTGCAACCGTAGATTAATTCCATTATGAATTTTCCTCGACATATCGGCATTGTAAAAGATAATTTTAAATATTATTCTGCACAGAGCAGCAGTTAATATATGCATAATGATATGAAAAAAGTTCTTTATCCCAATCTAAAGTGAAACGAGAATATTGAACTTTTGAATTATAAATAGATATTGTATTTTATTACTCGTTTAATTTTTTTTTATATTAATAAAATTGACTAAATGTCAGTTTTAATTACCGAGTCATTTAATATTGTGTAAAAAATTTTGTAATAAATTATTTTAATAAAAATCTTCATCATAGATTTAAATAAACCATTTGCTTTTGCAAATGATTTTAATATTTCTTGTCAGAGACATTTTTAATATATTATGCAGAATAATTTGCGATAATTTGCGATATTTTGCAGAATAATTACGAATTATTTTGAAAATATATACCAGATACATTGCAGAAATTTTATTTTATGAAACATAAAATGAATTTTCTCGAAGAATCAATGGTTACTTTTCTTATTTAACAGAGCTGCAAAAGATCTTGAGGAACGTCGCAGTCATTATGAACCGTCTCTTCATCCAGGAGTTCCTGATGATATTGATCATAGTTTCAAAATCGAAGAAAATGATTTCGTGCCTCATTTTCAACGAGTCTCCATATCCGGCGAAGACACTTCCGGAGTGAGTTTCAGACTGTTGATTTGAGCTGATTTATATTTGGTTTTTTAAATAAACATTTTATAATTTTCATAACTTTTTCGAATTAAAATCGTATTTATTATCATTTGTGTGTGTGTGTGTGTGTGTGTGTGTGTGTGTGTAAAAAGAGGGGGAGATGAAGAGAAGGAGAGAGAGAGAGAGAGAGAGAGAGAGAGGAGATAATTCAAAAAGCATTTAACATCATTTAACATATCCTTATCATTCTTATCATAATTATATTAATTTGCCAAATGTACAGTAATTAAATAAAAATTATGTAATTAAATTTACAAATGATAAAAATACAGAAAAAATTTATTTCTACAAAATGTTTTCTCAGAAATAATTATAAAGTATTATTATCAAATAATTGACAAAATAGAAATGTAACGATCTAGTGGAGACGTAACTTTATGGTTTCACTGGTGCTGCTATGCACAATGTGATCCTTAGAGATTTTGTGTGAAATGGAAACCTTGAGAGTGCGGATTTGCGCGTGAAACCCTTGGTCATTTAGATGTGACCCCTTCTTCCTTCATTCTGTATCTACATTAATTTATAAGGAATGTCTTTGTTATCTCGATGACATGAAATATATTAGAATCTTTTATCTAAATTTTTTTATTAAATTTTATATATATTTTTTACTTTATTTATTTATTATATTATGGTATTTATTATATAATAGAGATTTTTATGTGTCGTAATTAATACATACAATTAATTACATACAATCTCTGTTATTCTATTCGTTAACACAAGTTCACCACATCCTGGACTCGTAAAAATTATTGCACATAGAATCTGGAAATTATATGTGAATAAGAGGACTAGCGATAGAACTAATTGACTGAAATTTGACAATAGACAGTTTAACAAGATTATATACGACATTATATTCGACTATTTTTTCTTTGAAGATTTAACTCAGCAAAGATTACTTGTTATAAATATTATCATTTGAAAAATTTTTCTTATAATTTATAACTCGGCATTTTAAATTCTTTATATTATTCTGCGATATTGTATTGTATGCGTTATTCAGAATTTGTAATTTCGTAATACTGAAGATGACCTAATTTCAGGTCGAACGTTTATTTTTCCAATTGTTACATAATTAAAATATAAAAAATTATTGCTACGAATATTTTGCGTTGTGATACATGCCATTAGGAGATTTTCTCGTTTGAATATTTTATAATCAGGAAAATTATTAAAATATTGTCAATTCGAAAAATTATTTCATTAGTTTCTTTCTTATCCAATTTTATCATCTATAAAACTTATACGTAGGTACCTCTGGAAGATCTTCAAAGAGCCTCCAAGATGCTGGTGCAAGCATTGGCGATACGCGAAAAATACATGAACAACTCCAAGCAGAGCTTCCCTACTATTACTTCTAGATTCTTGCGTAGTATCGATAAAAGACCACTCACTACGGATGATGAAGTACATCACGACGATCGCAAGGCCATCGAAGGTATCTATTGTTAATTGAGAAGTGGCTCCAATACCAAAGTCATAATGAAAATCCAATTTGACGTTCCATATCTACCTTAACCATATTCTCATTGGACGTCCTTTCCTGATGGTGCCGTTGTCTATGAAAGAAACGTGATTGTAATCTCACAAAATACTTCAATGCAATTAACATTAACGTTTAACGCTTCAAGCGCCGATGGCAATAACGATGTCAAGCTACCGTACATGTATTGTGCAATTTTTTTTTCTTTTTCTTTTTCGTCAAGCGATGTGTATCTAATCACGCGGCTCCTCGTGCGGAGCTTCATACAAAGCACAGCTTTAGTTTAGTGTGCGAAGCACTACACATTTTTAATATGAGTTAATAAAGAATATACGATATCAGTTTTATTACATATTTCTTAAGGGAAAGCGCTGCTGGATATTGCGAAAGAAATCGGGGGCAGTCAATCCGACGCGGACATCGACGCGCTGATCAAAGACATCTCTTGGACAGGTCTTCCTAGTACCTATTAATATCCTTACCTTGAATTTCCTGTTGCACGCTGTTTTTAATGATGATGCTAATTGTTACTTTTTAAGAATCTCTTTACCATGCGCGAGGTAGTTTTATCTCGGAATAAATCAAACAGCGCTGCAGCAACAAACAGTTTACGATATTTCTCTAATACATACGATTAATTATTAACAGATCACCCGGTACATGCGCCTGCTTCTCGCGGCGATCCTTGGGAATGTGAATTTCCACCGACGAAGAATTACAAGATCGTACCAGTCAATGGCGTGTTCAACCTGTTCGCCAATGATGAGGACCTGGCCAATGGCAAACCGCTCCCGTATTCGTATCCGGACCTGGCGGCCTTCGTCCAGGACATGAACCTCCTCTGCGCCATGATCGCTGACGGACCCTTGAAATCTTTCTGTTACCGAAGACTGAGTTATCTGTCCTCTAAGTATCAGCTGCATGTGCTGCTAAACGAACTCAGGGAACTGGCGAGTCAGAAGGCCGTGCCGCATAGGGACTTCTACAATATTAGAAAGGTTTGTACACAAACAATTCGAATTCGTATAAAGCGTAATTTGAGAGAAATTTTAAGATTTGTAAGATCAATATTTATTGTAAAGTTAGAAACAGGATAATGCAATTTTAAAGTAGGAAATTAAAGAAAACTTTATATTTTTTTTATATAGTTATTTCAAATTGAGTTTTTCTACTTATATCTCAGCATATGATTGAGTTGCGCTATTATACGATTTATTTTTCAGGTCGATACTCATATACATGCGGCTTCGTGTATGAATCAAAAGCACCTGCTTAGATTTATCAAAAAAACGTTGAAGAATCACGCTGATGAAGTAGTTACTTGTTCCAAAAACGACGAAACTATGACACTCCGCGAAGTCTTTCAATCCATGAATTTGACTACTTACGATCTAAGCGTCGACATGTTGGACGTTCATGCAGTAAGTATTTTTCCGAAGATTTACAAGAGACATCGAGGAAGTTTCTAAAAAGTATTGCATTTTATTCTTTTTTTTTCGCAGGACAGAAACACGTTTCACAGATTTGACAAGTTCAATGCGAAGTACAATCCTATCGGCGAGAGCCGCTTACGTGAGGTTTTCCTCAAAACCGACAACTATTTGAACGGCACATATTTTGCACGAATAATCAAGGAGGTCGCAAGCGACCTTGAGGAGTCTAAGTATCAGAATGCAGAATTGCGTCTTTCGATCTATGGCAAGAGTCCAGAAGAATGGGATAAACTAGCTAAATGGGCAATTCAGAGCGACGTCTATTCAGATAATGTGCGCTGGCTTATACAGATTCCTAGATTATAGTAAGTCTATCGTACGATACGCGCGGCACTTAGACTTGGATGGATTTCTCATTGTTCGCATTTTATGTTATAGTGATATTTTCAAGCTGAACAAGCTTATGACAAACTTCCAAGAGATTATCAACAATATCTTCCTGCCACTTTTTGAAGTGACCAACGATCCCAATTCTCATCCGGAGCTGCATAAATTTCTCCAATATGTATGTTTTCCTATTTCATGTTATTTTTATTTCTGATCCGCTTTTGTTACTGTTATACTTTTCTAAATGTTTTATATTCGCTATGTTATAGGTAATAGGCTTCGATTCCGTGGATGATGAAAGTAAGCCAGAAAATCCTCTCTTCGATAAGGATGTTTGTCCACCTGCAGAATGGGACGATATAGAGAATCCACCATACGGATATTATCAATACTACACTTACGCGAATATGACGGTTCTTAATCACTTTAGAGCGTATGTTGATTATCAAATTTTTTTATTCTATTTCGAGCAATTCTCTATTTATATATTTTGGATGAATATAATTCTGAATTCTTTTATAGAGAACAAGGCTTCAATACATTTGTCTTGAGACCTCATTGCGGTGAAGCAGGACCCGTTCAACATCTCGTGTGTGGCTATATGATGGCGGAGAACATTTCGCATGGTTTACTGCTCAGAAAAGTTCCTGTGCTTCAATACTTATATTACCTAGCGCAAATCGGCATCGCGATGTCGCCGCTCAGTAACAATTCGCTTTTCCTTAATTATCATCGTAATCCTCTTCCAGAATACCTTGCTAGAGGACTATGTATAAGCTTGTCTACAGATGATCCTCTACAGTTTCACTTTACTAAGGTAAAGGAGAAATTATTATGTATTATAAACAATAATGTATAGAGTATTTTTTTTGTAATTTATAAAATTCGTTACTATACATACGTAAATATTTATATCATAATTATTGCTTATTTAATATATCTCGTAGTCAATGCATAATGTATTGTAGGAACCGCTGATGGAAGAATATAGTATTGCTGCGCAAGTGTGGAAACTCAGTTCGTGTGACATGTGCGAGCTAGCACGCAATTCCGTTCTCATGAGTGGCTTTCCACATAAAGTGAGTAATTATATCTGCTCTCCAATCTTTCGTGTATATAAAAAGCAACTAAGAGATCGGACTAATGCTTCTTTAAACCCTCTTATTTGTCTTATTATAATAATGACATATTTCTCGATTTCATATACTTGCTTAATGCATAGACGTGATGAAATTTCATGTGATTTAATTGTTTTATTTTGCAGAGTAAGCAGTACTGGTTGGGACCTAACTATACAAAAGAGGGAGTCGCTGGTAACGATATTACTCGAACCAACGTACCAGACATACGAGTGGCCTATCGATATGAAACCTTAGTTGACGAACTGTCCAATATCTTCAAGGTCGTGGAGAAACCTGAGTCACTTCCATTTTAATAATCGATTATTTGGATTTTATCAAATCGATGGAGATCGATTGAGGTGAAATGATATTCAAAGATTGACGAATTATGATTATTCATATGATTTATTCTTGTGATTCCGGCTCTTTTATCCGGCTAACTACAAAATATGTTTTTTGAAACATTACGAGAATTCGTAAGGAAATTATTTTCTTTTCTTATATAATTACTGATCTTTTTCTCTTCACACATCAAGAATATAAATCGAGGCTGAAACTTCGAACAACATCGATCAAATTATATGTTAGATGAAGTACAATACCAAATTATCTAAAATATGTATATCTTGTATCACAGATTTTTCAACGTGAGAATGTGCTTAAGATCGATATCGCGTGACAAAAGTATGCAATTCTACTTTGACTATAGATAGATGAAGGGCCAAATGCGATTTCGTGAGGCCATTACATTTCTATATTAAATTATGGAATCAGTTTTTAAATTGATTCCATAATTTATTATGGAAATCCGTATTTGTTGCTTAAACAAATTATGAACTTTACGTATGTATCGTTCATCTTTCATCTTGCACCTTTTTTAAAGACTTCAATCGCAAGAGTAAATCAATCAGAAATTATACATATACGTTGACCAATTTAATAGTAGTTGTTAGAAGATATTTCTTCTATCATTGCAAGATTCGTAATACACTTTAGTATTGTAATACAAACTAGGCTAGAAACGAATATTACGTTTATTCACCTTGATGTTAAGCTCGTGATAAAATAACTCCGTTTTTCACATTTCGGCCGTGTACGGTGATAACGGTATATCTTTCTTGGATTTTAGTTTTATTTTCTTACATTTTTGTACATTTATATCTTAATGTATAACGTTTGTTTCGGCGAGCATTCAGATAGCTGGCTCGTATGCGGATAGTTAACTCGTGCCATTGTATACCCTTCTTTCCACAAATAGATAGTGTAAATAGGAAATTACTTTGATTAGATGTAACTAAGATATTTTACGAGCTTTACATGCGTGCCAAGGTATGATGCAACGATATAAATATATTTCTCGTTATTTTAACTTCATGATTCTTTTTATCATTTTTTGCATCTGCCATTTTCCGAGAAAACTCTCTGAACAACGAGCCTAAAGGATTTAAATTAAGCGATATACGATCATCTATAACACTTGAACACTGTGCCCTGAATATCGAATTTAAATTAAATTGTTACTAGATAGAAAGATATATATTTATTGTAAAAAATATATATACTATAAAACGGAAATATATACTTGCATCGTTAAAACAGAAATTACGAAGTTTTTGATCGAACCAACGATAGCCCAATTTATACGCGAGCATTAATATCCAATAACTGATCCATCAAATACATATACATATATTTTATCAAAAGAGAAAGAATGCATTTCCTTTTTATTCATTAATTGAATTAATTATGAAAAATATAATTGAGGTAGAGATTACATTTTGAAAATCACCTGCTATTATTTTACAAAAAACATATCTGTAAATTTATATACAATACGGACGAACATTGATCATTGATCATTTTCGCTATCTATTCAAAACTTCATCATATCTAAAAAAAATCTTTTTTACGTATTACTTTATACATGTTGAAATAATACGACTACTACAAATACCTCGAATAATTTGTAGTCGATAGGAGATATGATTATTTGCCCTTGCCTTATTAAAATTAATGAACTATTCCACTTTTTTCGCCTTGGGTAAGTTTTGTATAATCTTTGGTATTACTTCCGTAAAAATAATTGTGCCTATGAAAACTAGCAACGTACCAATCCAATGATATATAGTAAATGGATTCTTGAAATAAACTATAGAGAATAATAACGACAGAAATTTTCGCAGCGTTATTACCAGAGTAACTGTTAGAGAGCTGCATTCCGTGGTTAATACGAATACAGAGCTGATGCACATGTATCTGAAAGTACAATTAAGGCGAATACTTTGAATACGTGATAGTATATTTGTTAGATGTGTTGATATTACGCGTTGATATACACGCGTGTATGTAATATAATATAATTGCATTTAGAAAAGGATACTGCGTCAGAACATTTCCAATTAAATATACGATTAACGATGGCATATGTACACCAATCACAGGTAACCTTAATGGTTCAGATGCGAGTGCGAAATTCCAATGATCGTAAATATTAGGTGCTAGCGTTAGGAAGAACGGCAAGGGTAACAAGTGCTGTAAAAAAATTTTCGTTATATCGTTAATTAGCTTGACGTTGATTGATATTTTACAGGAAGAAATAAGACTTACTGTATAGTACAAAGCTTCCCGCGCGTTTTTACCGTACCGATTATGTAGTTCCTCCTGATAAATACCCATTCTAGCAGAAACGAATAAAGCGATCGTGAGTAGTAATATGCCTAAAGCCCACCAGAAAAAGTCGTCCCACGGTGTCGTGGCTATTTGCACATTTTTCTGCTGCAAGGACTTGATTTCCTTGCCACTAACAATTGTGCAAAGCGCTATTCCCGTAGTGATCATAAATACTGACAAGTACTTGCTAAACATATATTTCCTATTTAAAATAATAATCCCCATAATCATGTTAGCTATAAGAGAACCCTGAAACAATACAATGTACATTTATAATACAGGATACTATTTGTATCTCTCAGACAACATATCTATAATACATCTTTATGATGTCTTTAAAATGTCTTTTAGACATACGTGTCTAGGTCACTAATTAGAATCCACACAGCATAATTTCTCCAAGAGACATTCTAAGAATATCCTTTGGACGTTCAGAAGACATAGGGATATTTTTAAAGTCGATATTCATAATCTATTCTTATTTTAAAATTGTCTTAAGTAATGTTTTAAATATGAGATTATGATATCTAAAGACAATTTTAAAAACCGACTATAAATATCGGCCTATGACATATATCATGTGTAGCGGCATAGGAATATTAAAGTCAAACGCATAATTATTGCATACGTTGGCGACAAAAAACATTGTGACCAGAATAAAGTAATCCTTTATGCCTATGTTTGGTTTGACAGTGCCGCACTTTGATGTAAACAGGAATCCCTCGATGGATATAAAAAGGAACTGTGAGAACGTAATGAGATTCCCACTGCCAGGATCATCTCTGAAATCAGAGTGATAAAAAATAAAACTTGTCATTCAACTCATGATGTAAGAAAATCTTACTTTCAACTCTCATTTGTTTTATCATGACATTCACTTTACGTAACAGTACTATCTCCGACTAAAGTATTATGGTAAGTGCTTTTTTTAAGTTGTAATTACAGATATTAGTGAAAGAAGCGATAAGTGTCGTAAAAAAATTTTACTAGATAACATACAGTGCGCGCGGTTATGTAACTTGGCCGGTTAGACGAGTTATTATTGGTGTATGGTACTTACTTGACAAGCAGTTCCAGAAACACGACGTTGGTGCAACAACCGAGGAAGACGCAGAGCACCGCGACAGCCGCCCGCATCGTGTTCGCTCTAAATCTTATTTTTTTCCTTCGACTTCCTCGTTGATCGATCTCGGGAGTCGTGGTCTAACCTATGAAGGTTACGAATCGCGTGTTGGATTCTCCAATGAACGTCACGCAATTCATCGGCACACTAACCACTGCGGCCAATGTTGGCGGTCGATCGCGAATTATCAGCGATGTAATAATGCGATGTATCGCGCGGTCGGATTATGCGCGCGATGCCACGTGCATATGTATACATTTATACATATATCGGATAGCAAGAACGTCACTATGCCAGCTGTGCCTTAATACGTTAAATTGCGTTAGTTTTTGGAGCGCTCGACGGAGCATGCGTGTTGCAATCAAGATTTGATGCATCTTGCAACAGTCGTTGCTTATTCAATATATGTTTTTTTATTCAAGTGATATACTCGTAAGTCTTTTTACTGGAAATACGTGTTTTTTTGCAATCTTGTTGAATACGTCAGCAATGATAAGAAATTATATATTGGGTCATCTAAAAAGTATCCATAGTTTTTTGTCACTAGATATGTGTTGATGGTCATATATCTAGTGACAAAGTACCGCGGATACTTTTTAGATGATCCAATATATGTGGATTTTTTCCTTATTGCATTCTGGATTTTTTAATTTTTGAAAGAGATTTGAATTAATAAATATAATTATATTTTATATTACATTTTAGAGTTGAAATATAGTCGATTATAGATTAACTAAACGGCCATCTGTCATTATAAATATAACTCGTACACGGTAGTGTATATATTAGTATAAGTGCGCACTTCAGCGCTTAAACGTAGTCCGTCGATTATGTATAATTGTCGATTAAGCTTTATTATTTCATAAACTGTTGCTTAAAATAAAAATTTATAAATAACTTTTTTTACTTAATTTTTTTAAAGCTTTCTTATTGTAATATTTTAAATTGTGAATTTTGGAACATCCTTATATAGCATAGTTTTTCTAAAAAGTTTTTCTAAAAAGAATATTGCACAATCAATATCTTTACATGTGATATCTCATATATTTTAATTTAGCCACTTAAATATCTTAAAATCTTTTATATTCGTGTATATTTTATATACAGAATTAAAGGAATAATATTTTATAAAATTATCATATAATTCTATAAAAATAGTGGTGATATTTATGACCTTGAAAAATTAATTTTTTTTGTAATACAATTTTTGTCTAAAAAATTTTCTTCTAAAATTTTAGGAAAGTTATATTTGAGTAGATAAATTAAAATGAGCAAAAAATGAACAAAAAGCAAATTGTTATGTGATTTATGCTAAAATTATAAATATTGTATAATTATAAAGTCAAGGTCAAAATTTATTCGAATTGCTTAAGTTATGTTCTTGCATAAAATGATAATGTTAATAATTTATACACTTTGTCCAGCTATATTACAGCTATTAAATTTAAATTATTACAAACTCAATCGGCTAACACTGATATCATTCATTCTATGCTCAGCACATAAGGACATTAAAAGAAAATTACTGACTTTGCGATTAAGGAGAATTTGATATGATGTTACATAACAGGATTGATTTTAGGCGCTTATTTGTTCTTGAATATTATACATACATATATAGAGGTTGATAAACGTTTTATTGATTTTGTTAATAGAAATATAGCAATACTATATCTCAGATATTAAAACTTTTAAGAAATTTAGATTCGAAGGAAAGATTATTATGTATGATTATAAATTATCATTATTAACTATGCTTTTGTGAGTGTGACTGTGTTATTCAAGATCTCAATCACATGTGATTCAGATCTTAATATTTTAAGCAACGCTCTTGTTAATATTTTTTATCACATAAGGAATTCAATATAAAAAAAACAGGGATGGTAAATTACTTTGTAAAAGTAATTAATTATCGTTACAAGTTATTGACTTTGAAAAGTAATTCGTTCCAGTTACAATTACTGAAAAAATAATTTCCAGTTACTTTTAAATTATTTAAAATTTTTTTTAAATCAGAATTTTTAGCAGAATGTCACGAGTAACATCGATATCATTAGGGCTGCGTTCAGAAACGTTACCCGACTATCTCCCGACTATCTCATTTTGTCCTTGTTCATTTAAACAAAAGAATGATACAGGTCATCTAAATAACGCAACCTAAGTCAATTAAAGAAAAAAACCTTACATTTACATGTTATATAATTTTATTCAAAAAAATAAGAAATATAAATATGAAACAATAAACACATGAATATAATTATGAAATAGCTCACATATACAGCCAGTGATGGGTAAGATATTCTTAAAATTTATCTAAATACATCTTAATTGCTAATATTTAATCTTGTAAAATATAATAAAATATATTAAACAAACGTATCGTCCTTACATTAGGACCTTTTTAAAATTAATATATATAAACAAAACTATTATTACATGCTACGTCTAAACATCCTTATCTTACATCATATGTCAAATTTTACACGCTTTAATTAAAAACTCTTAGGATTATTGCTATTTATATAGAATTTATTTGTGACTTTCTAGAAAAATTCGCATTTTCTAAGTATATAGTGACAATAATTTATATATTATTTTTATATTTAAATATACTATAATTGAGCTACGATGAAAATAATATAAATTATTGTCACTATATACTTAGAAAGTGCGAATTTTTCTAGAAAGTCGTAAATAAATTCTAACAATAATCCTAAATATTAATAAAAATTATCATTAATTTTTAACAAAAGTCAATTTTTAACATTAGTTTTTTTTAATTTTTTTAACATTAGTTAAATTTCTTTCTTCTGATTGTAATCAATCAAATGTTTCGAAACATTTGTAGCGCTAAGTGAACATTACCGCACACTAAATTGACAAATAAATTTGAAATATTATATATAAAGTAACTATAAAAGTAATTATTAAATTATTAAATAGTTACTACAGGGTGGGCCATCTATTGGTACGTTTTTAAAAATGCGATCAAATGAGCATACATTGATATTTTTTATTAATTTTTTTTTTGTTGTGAAGCTAAAAGTATCCGCGTCAAGAATGAAAAACGATTTCGTTCATGTGGCTCCCTCTACTGGCCTTACAGTATGCCATTCGGTCACCCCAATTATTAATGACATTTTGGACTACCTCGGCGCCAATTTCACTCAAAACAGTCGTAATATAATGTCATCCACTAACATCCCTTTCTCACGAACTTTCCTCACCAATTTGCGTATAGCTCCTTCGGTGGGTGCTCTATCACGACCCATATTTCTTTTCAAAATTCGTACAGTTTCGGCGACACAGCACTGACTTTGAAAATAAGTTTTTAAAATTTCAAAACGCTCTTCAAGAGAAAACATGTTGTTTCGTGCCGCGGACGGTATGACTAATAAACTGTCAAAATTTCGGGTCTGTAGCTCGTTCGGTGTTGCCATACGACGAAATTCAAAAACGTACCAATAGATGGCCCACCCTGTAGATACTTAAAAGATATAACTAAGTTAAGTTATAGTTACAGATAGAAAAAAGTAACAAAGTTAAGTTACAGTAACTGAAAAAAAGTAACTCTAATTATAACTTTGTTACAAATAAGGAGTTACTTCCCATCTCTGAAAAAAAATTCTCTGGGCGTAGGAAGTTTCTTTATTGACTATATATATATCAATAAAGTACATCATCACTAGTTTCCACAAACAGAAGTGGCATTCAATACGCTCGTGCAAATCGTTCTTTGAATCAATAAAAATTAATGAGCGTCCTAGCATATCTACAGTCAGGCAATAATGATAAATCTAAGGAAAAAAACAAAATTTGTAATTTTAATTATTTTTTAATTAAAGTCTTGTCTGGGGAGACAAGAATCTTTTTCGGTTACTATAATTTAACTTCGTTACTTTTTTCCATCTGTAACTATAACTTAACTTAGTTATATCTTTTAAGTAACTAGTACTAATTTAATAATTATTTTTATATTTACTGTATATATTTCAAACTTATCTGTCAAAAAATTTAGTGTGCGGTGTCTACTTAGCGCTACAAATGCTTCGAAACATTTGATTGATTATAGGAAAGAGAAATTTAACTAAGCACTAATGAACTCTTTTCAGGATTTTAACGCGGTGTGATTTTAAGACGAAGTCCGTTTGCGTTGACCAACACCAATTCCGATATAAAACGCAATTCATCCTCTTTATCGAGTGCTTCCACACGGAAGGCTTTTAGCACAGATAAGATGGCTATTTTAACCACTAATGTGGCAAATTTCCAGCCGATGCAATTGCGCGAGCCAGCGCTAAAGGGTATGAAAGCGTAAGGAGGTAACTTGGGACCATCGGGCAAGAATCGCTCCGGTCGATAAACGTGCGGCTCTGGGAAAAAACGGTCGTCACGATGTAGTAAATAGGAGTTGATGAGAACTGTCGAGCCTGGTGGAATTTGACTGCTCACTAAAAACAGATAAAAGACGTTTCAGTGTAAATGAGAATTTTTTATGTGCGTTATGCAATTGTTGATTGGACAATAGCAATAGCTATTCATCGCATTTTAAAGTTATTTGTTTTAACAATTACTTGATAAAATGCTTGGTACAACGCTGTTAATATTGATCAATGTAATGATAAATAATTGTAATAATTTTGATATAATATTAATTAATATAAAATGATGTAATTGATATTTGAAATATTTTTAAATCTGGAAATTATTTTTAAATCTGTATTTGTCTAATTTTTTTAGGTACCTCAGTAAAATTCTTTACGTTGTACCTACGGTTTTCCTCGTAACAATACTTTTTATGCAACTTATCCGACGGCATTGACAAATATTATTTACATTTATTATTTATTTTCAAACACGATCGATCTAACATTTCGACAATCATGCATCAACATGTGTTATTACATTTAAAAAACAATTTTGTTAAAAATATTTGAATCTTTTTACACTCTGCAACTTTTATCTGAAATATTTTTCTATAAAATTTATATTTTCCGAGTTATTCAGGGGTACCGACTTTTTTTCCTAATCCGATATAATTATTTTGATAGCCTAACAAAATTATTTCCAGATCTGTATTTAACTAGATCAGCAAAATGATTCTTAGTTCGTATAGAAAGTACGAATTTTTGGGAGCGAGCGTGGCAAAGTGGACAGCGCACTGGTCTGCAATGCTAGAAATCCCGAGTTCGATTCTCGCGGTAGCACCAAAAAAAAATATTTTCGTTATCGCTCGTATCCCCTCTCGGGAGGCAATGGCAAACCACCGAGAGTATCTTTGCCAAGTTCTAGAACTTCTCTAACCAAACATCCGTCGTTCGGAATCGACGTTAAACTGTAGGTCCCATATGAACTGTGTACAACCAGCGTGTGCGCATCACAGACATATGAGAGAAGTCACGAACGGAGAGAGACTATAGGAGGGAGGTGTTACTTACTTATTTCAATTGGTTTGTAAATTTGTCTTGCTATAAGTGGAGTCACAGGGTATAATCTCCACTGTTCCTTAATGCAAGCTTCCAACCATGTTAATTTGTGTATATTCTCCAATGTAATTTCATTCGTGTCCACCGCCATATCATTGTATTCCTCTAAAATTTTTTGCTAAAAACAAAACAAGAAAGCACTACAGTTAAATTAATGTTAAAAAATATAGAAAAAGATAACACTTTCAATCTTCTGTATCTTATAATTTAAGAAATATATCTAATGTGGACGAAATGTAAAAATACAATTTCCTTAAGGTTGTTAAAAATGATATATATAAAACAAAATAATGCCCTATTTATTAGATTCCATTGTGTATTAGAATTAAGCATAGCAATGATAATACAATATAGAAAGGAATAATACCTGGTATTCGGGGTTTCGTCCTAGCGCGTAAAGTGTCCATGATATGCTGGTGGCCAGCGTATCGTGTCCAGCGTACATAAAAGTATTTACTTCTTCACAAATGTCTTCGTCTGAAAGGATAGTGCCATTTTGTGATATTTGTAATAATAAATCCAGCAGGGCCCGTCTGTTCTTCTTTGAATTGTTGAAGTTGGTATCACTTTTCCATTCGGCTTTTCTTTTTACAATTACCTGAAGATTAGATTGTTCTAAATATTATCGCGTATTATTTGCAAGTGGAATATTAAGAATGGAGAAATATTATAAGTAAGTTTTCTTACTATTCTGATCTAAAACATGTGTTTGGAAAAGTCCAAAATTGAATTTACTACAGAAGGAAGTTAAAATATAATGATTTTTTTTGTATAATATATGAGTATAATAAAATGAGAGCAACTGCACTGAAAAAAAGAGATATTTCTCTATTTTTCCATTATTTTTCACAAACATATGAGTCTAAATTTGAAACAAAAACTGACCTGAACTGAAATTTTAATGATTAATTTTGTACACAAAATAGATAGTAATGAGATAGTGTTAATCTCTGTTATTTTTTGCAATAATGTTACTCGAGATCTCCCAAAAAACTGGGGCAGCTATTGAAGATAGCCCGGCTTAGAAAGCTTTAACTATCTGTGTTTAGAATGATTATTACCTTGCTGACAAATTCCTGTATGATTTGAATTGAATGATCGTGCTCTTTGCCTGACTTAGTTAATTTGAAAATTGAATCAAATGATAACCATACATTTGTGAAGCGCATTTGTACGATAGATGCAATCCTAAAAGTGAGAAATAAATATTTTATTATATTTTTTAAAACTAAAATTCAAGATATGTATATTGTATAAAACTGTATAAGAAAACCTGAATACAAAAATATAAAAAGAAAATCATTAACTTACTTATCTACAGCCTCGACGTAGTCAACTTTGAAGTTCTTTTGCGAGTTAAGCTTGTAACCCATCGCAGTATCTGCAATAAAATTGGTAAAATTAAATTAACTATTAAAAATAATTAATTATTATTATTAATTAAATTATTACAATTAAATTTAAATAAAAAATTTTTGTAATCTATGTGAAATAATATATTAATATAGTATTTATTGTATATATTGTATATTCTAATATACAATATATACAATAAATACTGATAAATTTTGCAATAATTTCATTTATTTAATCAACGTACATAGCATACGGATAAATAATTCAAAGTCAGAATTAGATATAACGAATGAGGCAATCAGTTCATATAAAAAATTTGAAGGGTGCAAAAATGGCAGTATAAGTGTTTATATATTTTAATTTATTTGTTGCTAATGGGCGTTCGCTGTTGAGAACTCGCTGTGCATAAGAAAATAAAATGTATACGTAACGATAGTAAAAATTTTCATAAAATAATTGATAATTTTGCGATTATCAAAGCATAAAAAGTGTAACTTTAAATGAAGAAATAAATTTTCTATGAATTTTTAGAAGATTTTTTAATATATATATTACGTGTGCTATACATTTTTAGTTTACTGTAATGTATGATTTGATAGTTGTTTTGTTCGTTTATAATATACGCGCGTAATTTGTATGTAAAGTACACATGTGTACGTGATTATATATATGTTCTTATTAAATTAATATTAATACATTATATGTCACTTATTTTATTATTATTTTATATACCGCACAAAAAATTTTGTTGTTATTAAGGGATGCATTTTTTCTTTTGCCTCTGTATTGAAACGTCTAATCCCGACTCTGAAATAATTACACAAGGATAAACTTCAAGTATTATAACATCAATGCTTTAATGATATTAAAATTCATCATTTGCGATAGTGTTCAAAATAATAATATGCAATATATCACATAAACATTAATGACAGTTAATAATATATGTCATTGACATGATAATTGACGTTATTCACATTATGGACGGTGTAATGTAGATAACACATATATGAAATGTATTTATTCTACAATACATATATTTTAATAACGCTCTATCGATCATCGTCGATACCATGATAGAAGAAACCACCATAATCGATACATTTGCGATCAGTGAATAAATTATTGACGAGCAATAATCGATCGCTTATTCCTTTTCCCACATTCACGCACCTTTCCTATTACCAATTCAAAATTCCGAGTATGAGTTAGATTAACAAAACATAAAAGAATTTAAAAAATTGTAAAAAGTGTATACATTAAAGAGTATACATTATAAATATTTTCGCGAATAGATAGCGTTTTACGAATGTAAATAAATGGAAGATTTAAGAGAATTTTATCGCAGCTCGGATGATCACTTCAAAAGCGATAAAGCTTAATCTGCCCAATAAAAATTCGCTAATGAAGACAGTGCAATTAACAAGTATTCTTTCGCGTAACGAGGACGTAAGATCGTGCGTTGATGATGACGAAAATCCGTAAATTTTCAAAACTTCTTCAAAATCCACGTAGAAGAAGATTATTTCTATCTCGTCGATTTCACGACTATATATTCTATATATATTCTCTGCGAAGTCTAAATGATAAACCAGATTAAAGTACATGGGACTTTTCTTAATCGAATCTTGTTCTAAAGAAACATATTAACCTGTAGTAAATACCATAATACTCTGCTAAAAGTCTAAAGCAAGATTTTTTAATTGAGCAGTTATTTTTGTCCCTAGCATGTATTTTTACTCTTATAGAAATTAAATATTAATACTGGCTAATTAATCACATATTTTCAGCATTAAAAGTACTATTAAAACTTTTAATACTCAAAATAAGTAATTAATTGGCTACTAATATTAAATTTCTATAAGAATAGACTATGAATAAATGCCATTATTTAAAAAATTCTGATATTTCCGCTTTATTTTAAGAGAAAGAATATACTAGTATATATTTTAATAAAAATTGTACTTATGTAGTCTCATATATTCTATTAAATGTATCCATCTTTCATATTATATTTAATAAATATATTTAATATGAGAGATTTAACGTAATTAATTAATACATTATAAATATAATTAGTATTAAAGATAATTGGTTTCAGCATTGCTATGATATAACTCACAGGAATTTTTATAGTATATCTCTTACAAAAAATCTACTGACCGATCACAGCAAGACAGTAATTAATTACTTATTTTAAGCATAGAAGAACTTCTTCGGTACTTTTAGTATTCCAAATAAATAATTAATTACTACTTTTCAATGATAGATTAGCTAGTATTAAATTGATACAAAATTAGATTTCTGTAAGGGATATTACAAAGTTTAATTGAGCAATAATTGTTAGATATATATTATAAAATGGTTAAATTTATTTAGGTAAAAATATCCGCGAATAATAAATTACTGTACGAAATAACAAAGCGATTAGCTCAACTTCGATCTCGTGCAACAAAGTCTGAGGTTTCTGAAAAGGTTTTGAAAAGTAAAGCACTATCGATGTCTCGTATAATCGAGTTTGCGTGTCCAAAAGTGATTCATGATTCAGCACCGAAATCCATTAATTCCGTCTCGCCAAGCGCGCTTAAAGCAATAAATGATTTAAAATATTTAGACTATCAATATTATAATTTCTACTTGAATTTAATCCTTGCAAAAATAATTTGTTAAAGATTCTGCAAAAAAATTTATAAATATGAACGATTGTTATAATTAAAGTTTATTAATCTCACTAACAAATTATAAAACATTATCATGTGAAAAATTTATATGCAAACCGCAGCTATGCAGCGGATAATTGAATTCGCAATCGCGAAAGGATCGACATTTCAAGTTATCGAGACATAAGACACAGATATATCAATTATGCAATCTGAGAATCTGTGGTTTGTCGAAGTCGAGGCAAATGGATCATTTTGGTGTCAAGGTGAAATATTTCACCAGAGAAAGATAAAGTGGATATGACGAAGTTACTGCACGAATCTTTACGATATAATAACATGGAAAAAACAATTTTGTTGACGTATCTAAAAATTTAGTTAGATATAGAAAGAAAAAATATAGAAGATTTTCAGATCTGTATCTAGCTAAATTTTTAGAATACTTCAGCAAAATCATTCTTTCTGTGAAAGTTTTGCTGATAATAATATTGATAACGTTCGTTTGTTATTATAACACAATTACGAACGTACGAAGTGTTAGTGATGATATTAATACCGAAAGAGACACAAAAAACATGTTTGCAACTGCAATCATCTACTAACAAATGAATGAATAAATTGTAATGTTCGAGTATTTTAATCGGAGCAGCTGAAGGCCATCATTTAGCGCATCGTTTGTATCGAACTTCTTCGTTCGCATTAATATTTATATCACATATTTTTTTCTCGGTTATATCATTGTTTTTCAAGCATCATTCACGCAATAAGAATGCTCCAGATGAATTTGTGTTGAATAAAAACAAATCTCGTTCGAAGAAGAATAAATATGTCCTCTCAAGATCTCACAGAAATCTCCTTCAATCTTCAAAAATTTAATTGCTGGATTATTGTTAATAACTAATTCGTTTCAGTTTGACTTTTGACGTCGATCGTGACGCGAGACGAAAAAGATTAAAACGGAGAAAGATAATAAAAGTGCCGACAAAAAAATGAGAAAACGGTAGTCGTCACTATGTTGTCTTAGCAATACGAACTCAGACAGAAGCGTCGTTGTTATCGGGATGGACTGGGAGAAGAGACCTCAATTTAGCATTGCTCGCGAATTACGCGAATCCCAACGTTGTAAATCCTCGAAGATAACGAAAGAAGCTCGTAACTAACGATATTGGAAATTAAATTTAATGTATCCTGATATGTATTTTCAATAGAATTTTTTATGTGCTCTGTTCAATGTTATATTGAAAAATGAGTACACAAACAGTTTCTTTTAACACAGCTATACCATATCCGAATATTTTAATAAAGTTCTGATGATGCCGAAAACGTCATGACTTATTAAAAAAATAATCGTTTCGTAATAAAATAATTGTATTCTTAATGAATTCGGTTTAATAATTAACGTTTTTATATTAATTAGGATAGTTTCAAAATTATTTGGATGAGATTATCGTGCTAGAACGATGGTTAATATATGGCGTATCCATCATAGAAGAGGGGGTTTAGATTCTCCTTTCAAATTTTTTCATTCTTAATTATAACCAATACAATTTCTTATTTTTTAGTAGATATATAAACTTTGTTATTATATAAAATTTTTTTTCTTTATGTAACTTCTGGAATTTCCGTTAGGCAGAGCTGTGGCCAGTATCCGCGATGCATAAAAAATTTTTGCAGGTTTTTGAGCGAAAAATAGAATATGAGCTGAGATATTAATGAATATTCCACAATTACATATTTCGTTTATAATAATTGTATTAGTTTATACTTTCTTTAAGAAAAAAAATAGAAGTCATAATTTACAAAACCTAATATTTTTCTTTTAAAATCTAGAAATGAGAAGGACACACTCTAAGCTTTGAAATACCCAAAAAAAGAAATACATTAATGCAAAAAATTACTGTTTATATGATAACAAATTGATAAAAAATCCCCGAAAAAAATCTTGAACATGTTCATGATGAACATTGTTAAATTACATTTAACGAAACCATCTCTTTGGTAAAGAATAAGTATTATAAAAGGAAAATATTCTGTGGAATTGCTATACATTTCTATATCTATAAACTTAACACGAAATCTGCGTCTATTGAACTCACCACATATAATATCAAGAGCGGCGCGTTTCGCAAACGGAACAATGTTGAACCATTTGTCCACTTCTTTTTCAAGGCAGGAAATTAGAACATTCGTCTCTTCTTTTATAGTTTTTAAATACGTCTCCAGGAGGCCGCTATGGAAGGTGGGCGTCAGCAGCTTCCTGCGAATGTGCCATTTTTCACCTGAAAGATCACAATTTTTATTGCGGCTATAAATTTATTTGTTGTATCCGCGCTAGTAGTGAAAATGAAGAATTCTCATAGTGTCCCTAGGGGCAATGTGAGATAAACATAAGTTTTTTTGCTCCCGATTTTCTATGTTTTTCTCTTTTAAAAAGGATAATAGAAATTACCGTTTGTCAAAATAACTAATCATACAAGTGTTCAGCAAATGCAAGTACATATACTCTTGCAATTATACATATACTGAAGATATATAAGTCGAAAAAGAAAAAGTGTCTCACCAGTGCCCTGATTTCCCTTACTATAAGAAAAATCCGCGTAATTAAAAATTCTTTTCTCTAAATAATCTAAAATTTTAAATCGTTCGCTGTCTGGAAAATTCGCAAGAATTAAAGAAATAACGTTGGTTTAATGTAGTTCAAACTATATTTTATATTGATATCCAAAATAAAAAATGAGAAATTGATACTTTGGTGCTATAAAGTGCAAAAGTCAACAATGTTATTTATATTAAATCAACAGTCGTGTTAACAGTGTCAATATCATAATAAATACAAATGCGATAAACAGGAATTCGGGAAGTATTTCGAAATATTACTTTATCACATTCGCAATATATTATCCTCCTTTACTACTAAACTAAACGAATGCGATAAACAGGAATTCGGGGGAATATTTCGAAATATTACTTTATCACATTCGCAATATATTATGCTCCTCTACTACTAAATTAAAAATAAAACATCCATTCAAGGAGAACGTTTTAATTCTGAGATAATATTGAAATTAATGCCGTACAGTATACTAATCAAATAATACATCTGTGCGGAAATTTGAAATGATGTACAATTACTTTAGTTATTGCTCGAAGTCTGAAGTTCTTTACGTATAATTTCTGTTACATACTCGCGTAATCGACAACTTTTTGCGTATAAACCCAAGGTAAGATAACGATCAGTAATATTTCCTTTATTCTATTTTTGTGAAATTGTATGACAAGATGTCTGAATGATTAGATTAATTTGCGAATATCATCTCTTTTATAATTATTTTATTCTCGAGGCAACGTAATATCATTAAATCAAATTTAATTGATCTGCAAGAAAATGATTCTTACACTTCTTGTTGTGTCTTATTGTTGTCAATGCTATATCCTACACTGAAAAGTGTAGACGTGTAATAACTTAGACAGCGGAGGCCAGGGTTGAAAGTAACACGAGTAGATTGTAATAGAGTTTGTAATTTTGTGGAAAAAAAAAGAGAGAGAGATAACGCTGTAAAAACTGAATGAGACAACGCAAAACAAGCCGATTTAAGCCGACTTTTGTAAATTACCATATAAAGTGATAAAAGATAAGTAAAAATAAATTACGCATGAGTAAAAGTACTTCACTTTGCCTTTTATCACTTTTACATTGTTTACTAACTATCAGAGGAGATAAGGATAGCTTTTGTACAATTGTCCATTTTTACAATATTTTAAAGCGATCTCATCATTTCATTTTATCCAAATTGCCTTTATTGACACGTAATAAAAATTAACATGTCATTTCTCACTTCTGATGTGACGATTTAATATGGTTGTGATGATTATTCAGGAATCTTAAGCAGATTTAAAAAAGTAAAAAATTAGTCAGACTATATCTGCTAGATACAAAAACATCAATTGGTTTTCCATGAAGATAAAAAAAAACTAGTCCAATATTACATAACATATATATGTAAGTATTTACTTTGATTTACTATCATCTGAAGTACGAAAACTGGCTTACGATTGTATCATATTATTTGATTTTGAAATTTTTTTATCATGGCACAGAAATCAAGAGGCCAACGCTAATTAGCTGATAATAATGGCGCTGATAAATTTTATCTAAACTTAAATCGGACAGAAATTCGATTCAACATTACAATATTGTTGCAGTATTGTGGTCATAGATAAAATCTATTATCAGTTATCAGGAACACAGTTCTCCAAATACTTCACGAGCGTTTATTGAACATACATTGAGTACGTGCCAATGATTTCTCAAAAAAAATTGTATTTCCAATTTTTTATTTAAAGGTAAAGTAAAATATACAGATGTAATATTCTTTTGATCTTAAATCTTCAAGTATTAATTTAGGTTTTGATTAAATCTTAATTTTAATTATTAAATTTAAATTTAAATTCCGTATTTTTTTATTTAAATTTTAAATTAAAGACTACTTTCAGTAGTCGAAAAGCTGCCTGAAAAGTTTCGAAGCTGCCATAATTCGAAGTCTTTCAAATACTTTGACCAATCACTTTTTTCGATGGCAATAATTAATCTTTGCTGCGTCGTAATCTCTGATGAAAATAAAAATCGGAGCATAAATCAAGTGTAAGGGAAAAGTAACAAAAATGTAAAAAAAAAATGTAAAAAAAATTAACGATTCTTCAAAGAGATGAAAATTGAGACTTCGGTGTTTACGCTTTTTTTATATTTTATTGTTCCAATTTTTGCCTCCTAAAAGCTTCATTTTGTATTACTCTCTTCTTACATTCGACTTACGCTTCAATTTTACATTTTCGCCAGGGAACTTTAATTTGTAATATATGACTCACTTACCAGAACTGGTTACCAGTCCCGTACCTAACCAAGGCTTCAAGTATTGGTACTCTAGACTTTTATCAATGTGTACGCTGCTGCTGAGTAGAGGTTGCACTGATTCTATTCGATAAAGAAAGATGAAAGGCCGCATGCCGACCCAGATCAGATAAATATCACCAAACTTATTAGCCCATTTTGTTAACTTCTGAAAGAATCCTGAAACAGACAAATTCAACCAATTATAGAAAAATATGTAAAATTGTCCTAATCTGGAGACACGGTATTGTCTCAGCGCTAAGCAAGCGCAGCGTCATGCCGTGCTCCTTTACCGATGAGTTACGACTGATTGAATTTATCTCAATAACTGAATGGATCAAGTTTATATACATATCATACATTCGAAGCAGTTTTGAATAATTGCTAAAAGTGGAAATCGAAAAGTTTAGCCAAAAATTCAAATAGTAAGATTTATACTAGATTCAAATAGTAAGATTTATACTAGATTTTCTCTATTTATATCCAATAAATGCTGTCACATAATTGACAATTACACAAAATGGCGATATTTTGACGATTTACGTATATATGAACAGTTTTGCTGATATCGAAAAAATTTAACCATATATAGATCTGAAAATAATTTTATTGGACCATCAAAATAATTGTGTAGGATGCTCAAGTTAGTTGCTAGAATTTTAAACTTTTTACAGCATTACTCATCATGTTTGAGTTTCCTATATAATTTCATATTTGCGTCTAGATTAAATTTTTTAATACTTTAACAAAATCGTTTTTTCCGTACAGCCGCTTACAATGGGGAACTTTATCTAATAACTTAATCTAGGATATTTGTATTTATCCATAGAGCTGTAAATGAAATATTATTCCTTTTTTTTATACTTTGTTCATCGACATCATTAAAGTTGAGCTCGGAAATAGCAGTATAGCAGTAATAGTTAGGCATTATAATTTCAATAATTATCTTTTCCAAGTTTTATTTTTATCAATGCGCATTAATGTTCTCTTTTATTTTGATCTTCGGATAGTTTTGTGTTAGCATTGTAAGACAGAGTTGTTATATAATTCGTCGATGTACTTTAAAGATCATGACTCTTCATGCTCAATAATATTCTTATACAACTTTATAATTGATTCATTGAGATTTTCTCTACCGATTATAAGTTGCGTAAATATTACAAAATTAATTAATAATTATTATTAATTAATTCCTAAATTAATAATATATAATATATATATGTATTATATAATTATATATATGTATATATGTGTGTATAATATAATATGTGTATTATTTTAAACTGGCTTGCGTGATTTATGAATAAAATTGGTATCACAGTAAGGAATAAAAAAATAGGAAAAATATCAAGAAGATTAAAATGATTAAAAACGACTTCATTTTTTTACATCGAAAAATTATCTTTTTTTAACACATTAATACATACGTAATATATTTTCGAAAGGACACGCTTATGGAAAGAACTTTTCGTAGATAAATTTCAATATTCTTCTTTATCAGAGTAAGCATTTAATACTCATCGAATGCACATGTCGCTTGTTATTGCATTTATGACGATTTCCACGAGGATCATCTTCAATCATTCTTGCGGTCACCGACCTGCGATGTCGTGCAGAAATAGACCTTTTACGACTTCATGTCTGACCAATCATCGCGCCATTATCGCAACTCTAGATTTGCTCTTATTGATATAAACCACGACTTTTGCGAGAATAAGAAGTATCAAGAACGCAAATGAAAAAACGAAAAAGGAAACTAATATGACTATATATAATGCAAGAATGTAATGCGATATGAGAAGAGAAGTAAAAAACTGGATAAGGGAAAAATGAAGAGAAGAAGAAATATCAATTTAGAACAATTCTGATAAAAAATAAACAACAAAATAAATCTAGAACAGAGTATTTGATAAATACAGCGTATGTGATTGCACAAAAAGAAAATGTTGCACTCGAAATAATATACTAGCTTCAGCTTATCGCTATCTGCAGGATAGTATAATATAATAAATATCGTATAATAAAAAGATAAACTTTGAAGTGTCTTAGTTACGTCTCATGAAATATCAAAAAGACTGCATTATAAGATTTTCTTCGATTGATAAACTGAATACCGTTCTGTTAGTTTTCTAGAAGAATCAACAAAGATGCGGTTGTCGTTGATGACATGCATTTCTTGAAACGTCTTAAATCTTATATTATATGAAAGCTAAAGTAAATTTGTATTTGATAAGATATCATTCCAGAGTTCATTTTTTTTTATAAATATGTATTACTAATGATTTAATAAACACAAAACTTTGGTTAAACTTTTTTATTATCCCGTAGTAAGTAAAGAACTATTTTGTAAATAAAATCTCTTTTTCTAAATAAAATGATAAAGAAAGAGATAGAAGGGCAAAGGGTACGTGATGTTACAAATGCTTTAAAGCAATTTTTGATTGATCAATTTGTAAAATTCTTTTTTCTAATTGGTCAACCAAACGCTTCAAAGCGTTTGTAGTGAGACTTTGATCGTAAAGAGAGGGAAAAAGAGAACAGAAAAAAAAGAGGACAGAGAATCAAGAACGGGACGGTGGAGGAAGAGAGAAATTGCACTCCACGTGCATCGAGTTGACGGCCGACAGGCTGACCGGACGTTGACCGATTGAAAATGGACAGTGTGCACATGGACGACGAGTGCAAAAAAGCAAAAGAGACAGAAGTAGAGAAAGGAAGAAGGAGTTAGAGAAAAAGACAGATAAAGAGAGAAAGGCGTTGCTCTGGGAAAGAGCGGAAGATGTTATCGAAGACCTTGACGTGCGAGACGCCAGGCGTCCTTCAGGACGGTGGAAGACTCTTCGACCTATTTTAGCCTCCTCCCCTCCCTCCCCTCCCCTGCCTCAGCTCATCATTCCCTTTCCATCGTCATCGTAAAGATATGTCGCGGAATTGAACAAAGAATAAGTATACAATATAATATGCGAGATGCACTGTACATAATTCTACATGTGCTAAATAAATAATCACATTACACGTAAGATTTTTTTCGAGCGAAAAATGAATGTCAATCTATAGTTTATACTTCAAATAATTTTCGTTTACTAATGCATTTAATTTTTCTTATCTTTTTCTTTAAAGTTGCTCCATCTAATTATTACATAATTATGTTCTACGTGCGTTTTCATAATAAGAACTGCACACACGTTGAAATTTAAATTAAGGTCAACAAGTCCGACACTCGGAAGTAATTATTTTTTTCGACGTTATTTGATAAAATTGCCTGGTTAATTTTTTTCAGTTGTTGTTCAAGAATTTTAATTTCAATTTGTTGCTTCCTGGAAACGAGCAAAAAAATAAAATCAAGAAAAAAACATCGAAAGAAATCTCGTAGATACTTATGTTAAAGCAAATAAGTTAATTAACATACGTGCTATATAATCTTGTTTTGTGTGATGTTAAAAAATAATGACTCATTCGATAATGTTTTTTTAGCAGGATATATCTCGCGTGAAGTGTTGCTACCGCATGTTAATCGCGCTTGTGTCGCCTTTTGAGTCAATAATGCTTGTAATATCCCTTTGATTATTGCGATATATTTATCATAGCGGCACAAAATGAGAGAGAGAGAGAGAGAGAGAGAGAAGCGTCTAGATTCTATTCTCCTCTCGCAGACGAGGACGTCTGGCCGGAGTCTGGCCCGGAATTACTTATCCCCAACAAGCTAGTCGGCCGCATAGTCTGAATCTCTTCCGTTTCTTTTCTTTTTAAGCGAAACCCTACCGCCGATGCTTTCTCTTTTTATCCTCTCTCCTTTTCTCGCAAAACGAGAAGGGTACGTAACACCATACAAAATCGTATGCAATTACACGCCGTTATTCAGAGCTCGAGCGACCTCGACCCGCTTTTTCTTCTTCTCCTCTTTCTTCTTCGCCTTCATTTCTTTATTCCAGACGGTTATCATTGGTGGACCGAGATAGCTCACCAACCACATTTCTCTCCTTTCTTCGTTTTTCATCACGCGTGCATGTCTTTACGTGAAAGTTTTATTTCGTCTTATATTGCAGTAATCAATTTGATTGTTTTATGGCCGTTTTTATCAATGTAATTTTATCAATGTAGTTTAATTTTAATCTTGCTTCACAACTAACTTAATTTTTTTTCTAAGTCTAAATTAGAGAAAGATAAAGAGTAAGGTGAACCGAGTTGATTTACATTGATAGAAACACATTAGTGGAACAAATATATTATTATAAACAAATATAGTATTTAAAAAATTACTGTTTTTAATCTTTTAACGTCTGAAAAATATATCTATACCTAATTGTAAAATATAAATATTGACGCTTTACATATGATTAAACCGTTGTGTGTAATTATTCAAAATTTTTTTACGCCAAGTATACATTATAGTTATATCATACTTCGTGTGTAGATATTTTATCTTTGCATTGTAAATTAGAAGGAAAAAGAAAAATGCGTGCGTATATAGAATGAATTGTTTAACTTTTTGCGAAGTAAAATATACCTCTTTCTCGTGAATGCAAAAATTGTTACATTTTCTTTACATGGTATAAAATGGATCATAAATAATATAAATATAAGTATGTATTTCAGCGAAGTTACAATACTATTATTAAACTACCGTCGTTTGTGATAAAAATTCACTTTCGCAAAATGCTGCTTTATTCTAGCAAAATTTTTAAGTACTCGTGAATGAATGAAAATGATTTAGAATATCTGGATCAGATCGTGCAGGTGTTTTATCCGATCACAGAGTTGATCGTGCAGCGGCCGGCATGTATCTGTTCTCAATATCTCTTGTTGCATTGCACTCTCTGGTTGCAAAATTATTCATGCAAATTTTGCACCAAAGTCGTCGAGTTAAACTCTCGGAATGGATCTGCGCCGCGGATTGACAAAGCAGCAATATAGATATAACGCGACTCGTTGTGAATTTCGCGTCACTTCGTCAATTCCCGAAAGTTAAATTCTCTATAGCATAGAATTGTCTCTTCTCTTTGAGAGAAGAATTCAGAATGTCCGAGAATTAGCAAGCAGCATTGATAATTGCATTACATCATAATATACGATGAAATTTAATGATTACTAACTATTAATCACAAGGTTATGATAATATTTTTATGTTTAAAGATGAAAGTTATCTTCATTTTTAAGCGATACCGAGATAATTCTTAGTTAATTTATATTTATTTAAATAATAGATGTGGAATGTGCTAAGTATATTCTCGATATAATGCTAACGTTGCATTTTCTATATCTTAGAAGGAAAGAAAAGTGAATGTTACAGCGCAGCACTTGTTCTTACGTAATATTTATGCTGCGAGAGGTAAATTTTCAAAGATCATCATTAAGAAGAGATAGAGGATTTGTAAAGATTAAAATATTGATTTTTTTTAATTTTTGCAGGTTATTGTAGTGTGACTTCACGATCTTAAGAAATAGAATGCCGTTGATTTATTTAAAAATTTATAAAATTGCGGAAATGAAAATCCAATAGTGCTAAAACTTGTTTCGATGTAGCGTGAAAATCCGTTTGTAGCACGCTGACAAATAGCACGAGAAAACTGCGCGAGATGATTATTGTAGATCTTTCTTTAGAAAAGTCTACATTTACAATACATATATAATATGTATTATAAAAAGTCTTTTTTTAGAAAACTTTATAATACAGAGGATGTATTTAAATAATAATATTGTTAGCCGTAGCAAGTGTTTGACCACTCCGAGAGTGATAAATGGCATCATAAGTTTCATCTTGGGTTACTTATAGATTGTCTTGATCTGAGTTGACCTGTATTCGAAAACATATTTCGGAACGAACTTAAATTCCTAGCAAATTGTATTTAATCGTTTTCGGAGCTTTGATGTCCATTTCTACCAATATAGATTAACTTTAATCTTATTTCAACTTATTCTTCTTTTTTCTAATTCTTAAAATTAAAAAAAAATGAAGAATTAGTTGAACCGAGATTAAAATTAAACTACATTGGTAGAAACGGGCATCAAAGCAATCAAATTCATTACATTGAAAATGCTACAATTGTTCAATATTTCAGGAACGTATTCATATCAATCAAACATTTAAAAAAGTTTATATAAACTTGAGTCTAGAAACATTTAGTTTTTGAGGTTGGAAGAATTTTATTATTTAACAAAACAATTAATGGAACAAATATTAAACAAGACACAATTTAATGGAAACGAATAAAAACAAAAATACATAAGACAGAACATTTTGTTACAAAAATTATTTGTTAGTATTTATAAATGGTCATTTTCCTACAAAACGTGTTGGTTTTGTGCAGAAAACTTCATTCTATTGATAAACTGCTCGATTTGTTATGCTTGAACTTTGAACCCAATTGATTTTTACATTTGAGAGCATTTAAAATTTATACAGTTTTAAGAGAGTGTATCGTAAATGGATGTGTAAGCAAATATTTATGTAAAATTCTATATCCAGGAATAGCGGAGTATGACAAAATATGAAACGCAGATTCAAAGAATGCATCCAGACTGGAGAAGAGCATTTTAAATAATTTTTAGAAATATTCTGTCTGTACTTTATATTTAATTATTTCTTTTAAATTTCGTCTTGTTTAATTCTATACTTGTTTCATTAAGTGTTTGATATTGTTAAGCAATAAAATTTCCTTTAAGGGAAACTAAATCAGAAGATGGCAAATTGCTTTCTTCAAAGTTTCGGAATCGCGACAAAACGAGAAACATTCGAGATCTTCGAACTATCTTCAATGACAGAAAAATTCTTATATTTTTAATAAATTGTATTACAAATTATTTTTCTACATCTCAAATGTAATAATAAATAACATCTTATAAATAGGCTAAAAAAATTATTTTATTTCTTTCGCAGATTTCAATTTGACCATACAAACTTATTTCCTCAAAGCGAATATAAAGTCACTCCTAACTGTTCTTTTCTTTTTCAATATTTTTTTAACAATAGAAAATTGATGCTACTTACTGAAGTAAATCTGCTTTTTTTGTCCTTTTGACTTTAATGTTGTTCAAGATGTTTTCACGCTGATTTATATGACAAAAGAATCCTTTACATGTGCAAAATGCAAACGTTGTCTCATGTCAATAAAGCTTCATTGCTTTTCAAATATGTTATGCGTCATAAGACAGAAAACTGCACTGCTCTATTAATACTTAGGTCAAATGCTTTAATGTGCAATATTTGTAATATTAAATAATAAATTAAAAGAGAGTTTTAATTTAATCTTATCTTTCTAAAAGAAAATATTTATATTTTCTGCAAATTATTACTTTATAAAATGTATGAAAAAAATATAATTTGTCGCAAAACAAATTTTTTTAGATATTTTATTTAAGGTATTTCTCTGAGAAATTTAGTTCCTACAGATTTTTTTGAAATTTGGATATTATAATATGTTTAAAATAATATAATACTATTATATAAATAATATAATACTATTTATCTATATATGGTTAAAATTTCAAAGATCTTAGCAGTGCTGAAATGAAGATATTTATCTTTAAAATTTCAACACGTAAACTTTTAACACGTAAACTCCTATACTAACCCGAAGTAACGTTTTAATACTTTGCAGCAAAAATCTTCTACAGATTTAAAAAAAATATATGTAATATAGAAATATTATAGGACCCTTATAAAAAAAAATTGGAAGACCCAGCGGTACCGTTTCTGAATTAGAGTAGTTTAAATTTGTAATTTGATGGAATTCTCCTTCTCGCACGCCGAGTAGCGAGACAAGGACATAATATACTGTTGTCATATTAAATTTCACTGTCTTCAGTGCGGACTAGTGTACACAAATACGACATTTATGCGTGTGTGTGTGTGTGTGTGTGTACGCTCGCCTCAAAAGTTTCTCTCTTTAGAGAACACGCGCGGAGAGGTATATTTATAGATTGTACGCGATTAATTTTCTAACGTGAGCCGGAGAAATACTTTAATACTAATATTAATTATATGCACTGGGTATTTCAAAATTCACGAAGTACAAGATGTGATACTTTATACTGAAACAAATAACTTTTTCCTTTAACAAAATTGCGTTCGATGAATAATTTTTTTTGCTCATTTGTTAACTTTAACCTCTTCCGCAAAAACTACTCTTCGGACGCAATTTTGCAAAAAGAAGTTGTTTGTTTTAGCATAAAGTATCACGTCTCGTACTGCATAATATCTATAACAATTATATCTATAATAGTTATTATATATAAATAGAATGTAAACAAAATATTCTATATTAAATAATATGTGATTTTATCGGATAAACTTTCAAATTTAATCTTCTTTCATCTTGTACAAAAATACTATTTTTTAAATTTATTTTTACATAAATAATTACTTCTTTTTCACATCATGTATATACAACTTAAGTTATAAAATTATGAACGTAACACGGTATTATTTTTCCTATTTTTTATATTTTGTTATTTTTAATCTTTAATGAGTATTATTTCGATTGTTACAGGAAAAACAATTTTACTAAAGTATTTAAAAATTTAGATAAATAATATTTTAAAAATAATTTTATTGGACTGTTAAAATAATTGTATAGAAAACTCTATCATGATGAGCAATACTGTAAAAAAATTTTAACAATCTAACAACTAACTTGAGCATTCTATATAATTTGATCATCCAAAATTATTTTATTTTCAGATCTATATCTGTCTAATTTTTTTAGATACTTTCTAGTAAAATCGTTCTTTACATTGTACATACGATTTTCCTCGTAACAATATTTTTTATGCAACCAATTCGACAAATAATAGCAGTATTGACGAATATTATTTACATTTATTTTCAAACACGATCGATCCAACACTTCGACAGTCATGCATCAACATACGTTATTACATTTAAAAAATGATTTTGTTAAAAATTGCATCTTTTTATACTCTGCAACTTTTATCTGAAGTATTTTTCTATAAAATTTATATTTTTCCGATTTCCGATTATATTTATTCGGGGGTTGACCTTTTTTCCTAACTCGATATAATTATTTTGATAGCCTAACAAAATTAGTTTCAGATCTGTATTTAACTACATCAGCAAAATGCTTCTTAGCTTCATAAAGAGTGCGGATCTTTGAGAGCGAGCGTGGCATAACAGACAGCGCACTGGTCTGCAATGTTAAAGTTCCCGGGTTCGATTCCCGGCATCAAAAAAAAATATTTTTATCATACGCTCGTATCTCCTCTCGGGAGGTAATGGGCAAAAACCACCGAAGAGTAATCACTTTTGCCCAAAAGAAACCTCTACAAAAATTCTAACAAAAATTTCGTCGTTCGTAATCGACATTTAAATGTAAGTAAGTCCCATATGACTGGTGTGTAACAGTGTGCGTACCACAGGCATATGATAGAGAAGTAGTTAATCAGCTAGGACTTACCTTCTTGTGTGCAGTTGAGTTGATAAGCGTTACCGACAATCGGCAATGCTGTGGGATATGGCACGTTCTTTAAGGCGTACAAAAACTTAGCCCTCCGTATCATCAATGCCACCACCGAGAGCGTGACCATGCAGATCGATAGAAAAATGGTCAAAAAAGACCATTCTGAGATCAGAACTGCCAAAACAATCATATTTTTGCACCTGTAATGTTTAATCGTATTAATACCTGTTATCTCTTTTTCAACAGAACGATCGGGAAAATAAAATTTTTTGAATCTTTATACGGAGAGAATTTTTTCTTAGAGTTTATCTTGAAAATATAATAGTCGTGAGACAACATTGCATTTTAATGTAAATCTCTCTCTTATTCATTAATAAAACTACAATAAAGTAGATAATAAGTTTCATTAATTTTACTGAAGTGCATGGTAAAAATCTTTAAAATATTGTGTTGTACCACAACTATCATATCTTCGGGATAAATTTAAAAAGAAAATTCTCTCTGTAGAAAAGGCATGTACTCTTTTCGAAATTTGTAAAATAATCACGAATCTCGTTAGTGTCCAAGATTCATTTTTTCTAAAGTGAAGTTCTCTGATGAAGTTTGATCTTTTCTAAAACATACAACTTTAGAAAAGATCGAGCGCTCTCACACGAAACTTGTGATTTTTTTTACAGCTCTCAAGAAAAGTACTTATTCAATCTTTTTTGAAGATACAAGAATTAGAATTGTGTGAAAAATTTTGCTGTGCAATCGTCCTGTTGAAAAATGAATTCGACAATAACGAGGATAGAGTAAGCATCGAGAAGAAAATCATGTATACATACTGCTAGTACGAGAGACGTCAGAGATTGAATCGTTAAGTTCGCTTCTACGATGCTAGATTCAGTCAGGATTCTCTTCCGCGATAAGATTGGTTTTTAACTCTTTCGCCGCGGGCGAATCGCGTAAAGCGATCGGATCGTATCGCAGAGATGCTCACCGGTTGTAAATGAAAAATCCAATCTTAGATACAAGTACGCTTTGTACTGAGAAGCGGAAGACAGTTTGGCAATTACAAAGTCCACCAAAAGTGTCGTGGAAGAGGAAACGCTGATTTTCCAAGAGTGGATTAATTCGCACAAAGTTGCACCGTGATGCCTTGCTATGTCTTCCACTTATAATGAATGATCAGTACGGAAGAGTCGCCCTTATATACTACCGGATTGTACTACAGCGATCAGCGACTAACTTCGTTTCCACCAATAGAATTGCGAACACGCGTATGTATACTTTGCGTACCGATTGGAATATATATTCGTAAACATGTGTTACACTGACCGTCTGTTACGTGCGTATACGTATATGATACGCAAGCGAACTCGTAGAAATACATTGGAGGCTGAGTACCGGTCGGACGCGAGCGCGACTCCACCTCCCTTCTTCTACCACTACATATAGTAACGATCCTATCCTCCTCTCAGGCGCGAGTATTATGATACGTGGTGGAAAGAGAGGGAAGTGACAAGCGAGTGGAAAAGACTTCTTCGCCATTGTCACTGTTATGCGAATCGGCACTGCGTCAGTATGACTCGTGGAGACCTGGAGACGGTTACTCATTATGCACATGAATTTCCGCCTTCTGGTTGCAGAGAACGTTTCGCGTTTCACATTAAAACTATTACTTTTAAAAAATTCGAAGCTTCGAAGCTTAAAATGTCTTCGAAACTTTATTTCATTTTGTCATACAATTTTTGTAAATGTGCGCACCTATTACAATACTATTATATTAAATTAATAATGATATAATTTTAATTATTCGAACTTTGAATTTTGAAGTATTGAAGTTTCGAAGTTTCGAAATTTAAATGTTGAAGCCTTCGAAGCAAATCATCAGCTCATTTCGCATTAATACAATATATATGATTTAAGAAATTTTTGACCAAACTCTAATATTTTTAAATGTTCTCACCAAAATTTATAAATGAACATCTATTTTAATAATAAAAAATATTTCTTATGATATTTTTTAATATTTTGAAAATTAAGGCACTTTCACATCGTATATGTTTTTAAAAATAAATTATTCAACTAAATTTTTAATAATAAATTTTAACGAACAATTTAATATATTTATACATATGTATTCATAATACACTGATTTAATGTAATCCTTATTGTCTTCCAGATTTCGAATAATTTTTCATTTAAAATAATGCATGCTTAAAAAGAATAAGTAATAACTATTCGGCATTTATTCGGCAGCCTCTGGCAACTAGATTTTGAATAAAACTGATCAAAGAAACATTTTAAAATGTGAGTTTATATGAGAGAAATTAAACAATTTTTTGCAGGCTGTATTAATTATTATTTTATTATTACACGATATAAATTTGCATTAACATTGTGTATTATTTTTTTTTCTATTTGTATAAGTTTTGATTACTAATTTTTTATACAATAGTATAGTAAATACCTGCAACAAGAATGTGTAAAAACTTTGTAAATAAATATTAATTTCTGAACGTATTTTGCCAAATTTTTATTAAATGATACGGCGAAAAAAAATAAACGAGCGAATCTCCCGGAACGAGAAATTTTGCACTCTATAGTGAACTTAATTATAAAAAAATCGATGAGTTCTTTGACTGACATGTTATCTTTCAAATTCTATACATAAAAGATATTAAAAAATTCCTATTAAAAAATTCGGAAAAATGAACTTTTGGCCAAAATTTTGAGCTTTTAATGCGGTGCGAATGTAAAGAAAAAAATGCACAGAGCAAAGAGGGGTTCCTATACAACACAGAACATTGAATGTTGCTAAGATGTTGCAATGTTGAATATTGAAGTGTCAATGTTTTATCGATGTCTACATTGATTCTTCTATATTGATTGTTAATGTTGCTGCAACATTAAAAAAATTGTTGAATAAATTGAATCTTTATTAATTTTTTTACATTGATTATTAATGTTGCTGCAACGTTGAAACAACATTGAATAAATTTTATATCAAAATCTATTTCATTTTGTAAAAAATAAACAATAATGAAATATCATGTAAATAGAAAATTTAAATCACTCTTAAATTGATCTTTTAATGAAACTCATTTCTAAACTGTATATGTTTATGAGGGAATCGGCCGCGCGTGCAGAATGCTCGCATGAGTGATATTATTTGTGTTAGACCAGTTCGATGCGCGACGTCAACTCGCGTTTTTCTACGGGTCTGTTTTATTGCTGCACTTTCTGAACTAATACACACAGTGCAATAAGTTGAAATGAAACAAATATATGTTCATTCCACTTAAACTTATTGCACCGGTTCAGAGTGCAGTAATAAAAAACAAATATTATATGTTACAGTTATACATTCGTTATAAATATTCAGTGTTCGTAGATCATGCCTAGTAAAAAAAATTATTCATGCATGAATATATATAAATATGTATAAACAGACATAAACACGCATAAATATACATAAACATGTATAACTATATATGAAATACATGTTCATACATCTTTTTTTTTTTGCAAAATTAATTTTTAATGTAATAGAAATAATAGTAATATGAAAACATTAAAAATAATTAAAAAGGTAATTTTCACATTATTTGCTTTAGAAGAAAGTTAAGTTTGAAGAAATGTAAAAAAAATTACTTACATATAATTATATATAAAACTATGTATAATTGTGTATGAGCAATTCTTTTTATATTTTTCCAAACTTGTTTTTTTTTTCTAAAACAAACAATGAAAATTATCCCTTTAATTATTTTTTATGTTTTCACACTACTATTATTATATTTATTACACTAAAAAGTAATTTTAAAAGAAAGAAGGATGTATGAACATGTATGGATGTATTTCATATGTAATTATGAAATATACATGTTTATGAATATTCATGCGTGTTTATATATGTTTATACATATTCATACACAAAAAATTTTTTATCAGGTTCAGGCGAAACAGCAGTTCATGTATGATTGCAGAGGTTCAGCACCTTGGGTGACTGCTTAGGAAAATAAGAAAATCAATTTCCAAATGAGGAGTTTTTGTTTTAATTATTATTTTGTCGTGTGTGTTCCGAAATATGACATTCTTTCTCTCTTGATAAAAAAGACAACTTTTTATCGTAGGAGACGTGTGATGATGCAAAATATCTCTAATAACAGGCGCGTGCTAATTCATACACAGAGATATGGGAAGAAGGGGCGAAAACAAAAAGGATAAAAAGAAGATTCAAGCGGTCGGTTACGAAAAAGTTGAGCTCGATTTCTGGCTTTGTGCTGTAAGGAAGAACAAATTCGAGCACTTCTGTCGGAGAAAATTGTCAGAGAATTTGATAAATATTTTTCCTCTCATTTTCTCTGTAATTCTGTAAATTTGTGTATTTTCATAGAATATATTTTCTGAAAGGGAAAATTGTCGCTCAAGTCCCATTTAATTTTTTTTAATTTCAAAGTTTTTCGATGTCGATAAATTAAAAAAACGATATTAAAAATATATATATTATATGTATAATAATAATTTAATGATAATCTATGACTATGCATGAATGTATTTTTTAATATTGATGCATTTACCATTTAATCAAATAAAATGAAATTTTATATAAATTGGAATTTCTGCATTAAAAATAAAACGAGTATACATATTCCGTATGTGTTATTATATAATATATACTTCTAACTTTTTCCGCATCAGTACTAAAATCGCATCGTTCCAATTTTGCATGTGTTTTCCGAAACCAAGTTTTGAACTTATGTTTTATCCTCGAATTTGATCTCCTTCTTTTTACTCCATGATCTAAAAATATAAGAGATCCGGGTTATAAGACTCCCGGTCGAAGTAATTTTCGCAATAAATTTATTTTTAGTATATTAATATCTTTCTAATGTGATGTCTGATTGAGCATCAAATTATTAAAAAATGCTTGCAATTTAATTTAATTTGTGATATTATTACAGTAGTTTAATTGTTCCGAAAAACCAATTCGGTGTGTAGTTCGAATAACTACAAATATGATATATGTGCGTGTACATACATAGTATGTATATATACAGGGTATTTTATTTTAAGTGATATAATTGATTATCTCGCAAATCGATGATTTTATCGAAAAATGTTTTGAACAAAAGTTGACTTGAAGGGGGACATATGATGGACTTGATCTTGAGTGACCTTGTCAAAATTAGATCAAGGTCATTAATATTTTTTTAAATGGAAACACACACATTTTATTATATTATTATTCTTGTAGCTTATCTTGAGAACTTTCCAAAACACTATAATAAAATTATGTTTCATTAAGTAGTTTCCGAGTTATGAAGCTTGAAAGTTACAGTACCTCCAGCGTTATCCATATCTTGCCTTAGTTGGCAGGATCAGTGATCGGTCTTTCCTTAATCGGCCGGATTAGTGATTGGTCTTGCCTTAGTTGGCCGGATTAGTGATTGGTTTTGCCTTAGTTGACTGGATCTTGCCTTAATCGGCCGGATCAATGATCAGTTTTGCCTTATAACTTAACAAGTACTTAACGAAAAGTAACTTTATTATAATATTTTGAAAAGCTGTCAAGATAAGCTATAAGAATATCTAATAAAAAATAGGGATTTCCATTTAAAAAAACATTAATGACTTGATTTTGAGGGTCACTCAAGGTCAAGTTCACATTTCTATCATGTGTCCCCCTTCAAGCCATGCAACTTTTGTTTAAAAAATTTTTCAATCAATTCGCGAGATAATCGACCATATCACTTAAAATGAAACACTGTATATATAACATTCACATTGAATTATAAGCATCAAAGATCTAGCTTTAACCGATATAGGCACATTTCGTATTGTAAATATTTACATTTTATCATACTGCCCCCCCCCATCCACTCCCAGAATTACTCTCTGGATCCGCCCTTGCTCACACATGCACATTCACACGTGTTCGTGGTATAGGGGTCCATTTGATGCTACAAATGCTTCAAAATATTTTTTGATTGGTTAATCGAAAGTTTTAAAACGTTTATACCTCCTACTAAAAAAAATCACGTAACAAAATTACGTAATGAAATCGTGTTATGTAGATAAATTAAGACAAATAAATCACGTAAAAGAAAAAATTTTTTGGCTGATTTGGGCTGTGTTCCAAATTGACTGCCAGTGTTGAAAATGCTACAGTTTATATTACGTCC